TGTTCCAGGGAGTTACGTGGGGATCTGAGGAAAAACAGGCTCAAGCGGTGCCTGCTAGGGTTGGCAATAAGGAAGAGCCAGGGTTAAGGTATCTGTGCACTTTCTCTGCTGAAGGAGCAGGTGGGAACTACACCCTACTGACCAGGTGTTGTGCGGTGCAGGAGAGCATCAGCCCCAGCTCTCCACAGGCCAGCCCCCAAATGGCTGAGTTATGAAGTGAGCATTTTAGTGCATGACAAGGCTTATATTATGCCTCATGGACAGCAGTTCCATGGGGCACCGTAAAACCCTTCTCGGTTAATCACTCTCTTTTGCTTGCTGCGATCTCAACCTCGGGACTAGGACAAGCCCAGAGCGTTGACTGAGCGTCAGGGCTCCTTGCTCTGCAGCCAGTTTCCAACGACAGGACTGAGCTTGCATCCATGGCATAGTGCAATGAACAGAAACTAGGGCAGGCTCAGGATATAGCAAGGCTCAAAAATCATAGCCTATGAGAGAAGCAACTTTACAAAGAAGCTTGCATACAAGCTTTACATAGACAAATCACATTAGCAGACTGGAGATGCTCTCTGGTTCTAAATTAGCTTCTGTCCCTGTGGCAGGTGGAGGTAAAGCAAGGCACAGAGTTTAAGGTTTAAGGTTTGGAAAGAACAAGAGCTGTGCAGCCGGCTCCTCCCTCCAACCCTCCCCTCTGCCCACATGTTTTATTAAAGTGGCATTAGCCATGGGTGGCATTGAGGTGAGGAGGTGTTGCGGTGGCAGCAGTTGAGAAGCCTCTGTCTGTGACCAGCAAAATCAGCAACCAAGAGGTAAAGGGCCAAAGGGATGGAGGGCCAAGAAGGGGTGTCCTGTAACTCTCATTGGGACACATTGAAGGAGGTGTAGCGATCCTCTTTGCAACCTGCTGAATATGCTTAAAGGTAGAATTCAGGAGAAGAAAGGATCCATTTTCTGGGAAAGGGACCATGCTTGGGTTGTTAGTTGTAGAGGAACAAGTCAGGGTCTGAGATCAGTTTGCACCAACCCAGTTCTAAATGTTGACATGAGGAGAGTCTTTTGGAGAGGACCTGTCAGAGAGAAGGAAGCAGCCCTGGGTTCTCCTATACAGAGGGAAGCTGCCTTGGACTGGGTCAGACCTTTGCCTACACTGACTAGCAGCAGTTCTCTGCGGTTTCAGACCAGGACCTCTCTCCTTTCCACTAGGAGATGCAGAGGAGTGGACCTGGCATCTTTTGCATGGAAACTAGCCATGTCCCTTCAAAGCATAAGCTCACAGGGCAAAGAAGGTAGGCCATCTACAGGGTTTGTTGTTGTTTAGTCGTTTAGTCGTGTCCGACTCTTTGTGACTCCATGGACCAGACCCCATGGACCAGAGCACACCAGGCACTCTTGTCTTCCACTGCCTCCTGCAGCTTGGTCAAACTCATGTTAGTAGCTTCGAGAACACTTTCCAACCATCTCGTCCTCTTCTCCTTGTGCCCTCAAACTTTCCCAGCTTCCGGGTCTTTTCCAGGGAGTCTTCTCATGAGGTGGCCAAAGTATTGGAGCCTCAGCTTCAGGATCTGTCCTTCCAGTGAGCACTCAGGGCTGATTTCCTTAAGAATGGATAGGTTTGATCTTCCTGAGTCTCCTCCAGCACCATAATTCAAAAGCATCAATTCTTCAGCGATCAGCCTTCTTTATGGTCCAGCTCTCACTTCCACACATCGCTACTGGGAAAACCAGACTTTGCTATTTGGCGAAACAAATACAAGCCTTGCCCAAGCAGGAACTGAAACCAATGACAGAAAGCTATCTGAATCAACAGTTGAGCAATGGGGAATGAAGCCAAACAAGAGGTGTAAGACCCAGGGAGTGGGAAAGTTAGGTGAGAAAGGCACATCTATTTGTCAGTCTGAATATTTGACTCTGTCTGGGTGGCCTTCTTGGGCATTAGGATCTGCAGAAGCAGCTCCCTTGGTAGTCCCACCCCCCTCTGAAATGCAGGGAATGGCGGAGAGGGAGTTCTGTAGCAGCCCCCAAACTGTGGAACTCCCTCCTCACAGACGTACACCTGGCATCTAACGATACAATTTTCAGTGGGTGCTTAAGATGTGCTTCTTTACCCTTGCCTTTGAACCACTAAGGTGTTCTGTTCTGTAGGACCCACCTTTTTTTGCTGAATTGAATTGATATTGTTCTGCTCAACCTGGAACGGTTTTATGCTGGTAATAGTTTCATCTGTTTTTATAACTGCATATCGCTGTAGCCTGCCCTGGTACCTTATGGTGAAGGGCAGATAAGAAATCTTATACACAAATAAGGCAATTCTCTTTCTTTCTTTCTTTGGGTCTTTCAGTCTTCCTTCCTTCCTTCCTTCCTTTGTGGAGTAAGATGTTTCATCTTGTGTTTCTCAAAGCCTAATCTCCAGAAGTACAGAGGTTAGGCTGTTGTGTCAGTTTCATAAGCAAGTTCCTGTCAACAGAGAACCTATATTTTTTACTTATCAAGTCCCTCAGTTTTCAGCTGGAGCCAAGTTGCAACACTTTTTGAAGTCTATGCTGTGCCTCTGCTAGGAAGACAGAGGGAGATCTTTTGACTGGATTAACTGTGATTTCCTAGAACTGGTGTCTTAGAACAGGAGCCTTGACCACCCTGGAGGCCTCCAGATGCTTCAGATGAAAGCTCCCATCAGCACATGCTGGCTGGGGCGGATGGGAGTTGTAGTCTAATGCATCCTGAGGACCTCTAGTTGGGGAATGCAGTTCTATAGCAAGTGAGAAAGTAGCTGCTATAAATGTAGATGCTATAAATGTACAAGTCTTAATCAAAATAGCATACTTTTAAAATTAAGTTGACTGCAATGCGGTAGCATAGCGTGGGGCAGTTGCCCTGGGTACAAAATTGTTAGGGGCACAAAGTTTCAACATCTTGTGCTGGAATGCTTCTGCCACTGGACTCCGTTGAAAACGGCATTTCCATGCGAACCAGGAAGTGACCTCTCCAGACAACGGAATGACTTTTCTTTTCTTATTTCCATGGCTGCAATCTCCTGGGTCCATTAGGCAGATGAATGCACATGTGTACTCCATCTGTTTCCCTCCCTTCCACTCACCCCTTCTGCGTGGCTCCAGGTGCTGTCAACCCATGCTAAACCACTGCTGTAATGTTCTGTCCTGTCCTAATACTTTAAATAAACAAACAGAAGTATGTACAGGCTGCCTTTACCAGCATAGGCCTCACAAGGTGGCAGACAAGAATGAGATATGTTAAGGACCATCTGAAGTGTCAAAAAGAAAGAAAATAATACATGACTGAAGGAGGCATAGAGTCTTGAGATTTAGTTGCATGAATGATGCTACAGAAAGGCAGTGAGCAGCAGAGTTGGGAGGGCAGATAGGAGAACAGTGGCTCAGGCATCTCAGTCAGATCTCTCCCCTCCAGGAGACTTCCAGCACCAGTTACCGTAATTCAGAAAATTGTGGCAGCTGCTAAGCTGCTGGAATATTTTAGGGTAGATTCAGTTTCGGTGGGAAAGCAGGGGCTCTGCCAAGCCCCTTTAAGTTGGCTTACAGGGTGACCTCCCCACCATTTCCAGGGTAAAAGAGGATGTGTTTGTTAAGGACTCTTTGAAAGTACATTGCAGTACTTTTGAAAAAGGTTTCACCATCCTGTACCAAAAGGGGAAGGAGGAGAATTATTAGAGGGACAGACATCTGAGCATAAAAGGGAAACGTGAAAACTAGAAGGGGTATAAAAGTGCTAGGAGGTACGAGAAGAAACACATACACACAAAAATAAGGGTCTTTACGGAACATAACAGCTTTAGGGTCACAAGGGTGGATGATGAGATTAATTGCTCAGAACAGAATGACAGTCCTCAAAGCGGGGCGGTGTCCAAATAAGAACAATGGAATGTCTTCAAAGGTGGAAATAACTGTGAAATGACAATTCCCAGCCTGGAAAAAAAACCCTATCTGGAGAAGAATTAAATCTGAATGATAGTGTTCAGAATGGAATGACAATAGAATGGCAGTATGCAGGAGACGGTTTGTAGGATAAACTGACACTGAAATCAACAGTGCTAGGAACAGAACATTAGAATGACACAGTCAGGAGTGAGGTAATACAGTGGTACCTCAGGTTACAGACGCTTCAGGTTGCAGACTCTGCTAACCCAGAAATGGTACCTCGGGTTAAGAACTTTGCTTCAGGATGACAACAGAAATCGCGCGGCAGTAGCAGGAGGCCCCATTAGCTAAAGTGGTACCTCAGGTTAAGAACAGTTTCAGGTTAAGAACGGACCTCCGGAACGCATTAAGTTCTTAACTTTAGGTACCACAGTAACAGTGAATAACAGACCAACCACAGGGCACCCAAAGCCCCCCTCCCCCAAACTCCTTGGCCTTATTGCTGCTGCTGTCCATCACTTTCACCATGTGATAGCAAAGAAATACCTTTCTTTCACTTTCCCATGTTCCTCAATTTAGAAGAAAAAGCATCTCAGTTGTGTACCCCCACCCCCAAAATCACACCACATTTGCTTCTATTATTATTACAGTAACAACAATTCCCCACCCATCTGGCTGGGTTGCCCCAGCCATAACCAAGTAGTCCCCTAACAGGATATTTCTGGGTAAGCAAACTGCCACAGTATAACTTACAGGTAATTTAATTCTCCCCTGTCCAATGTACTGTATATTGTTTTGGCTCCTGACACATTGCTGTTTTTGCCTGCCAATTAGCAGGGAGATTCTGTCTTACGGTTGTTTTTGTTTTCCACATATTTGACTTCTTTCAAGGAACCTACAAAACCAGGTTTTGATGTGGTGGTGGATGCCAAAGGGTTGAGGAGGGTGCAGGAATCCAACACCCTGCTAAATCTATCAAGGGGGAATGTACAGTGTGTATCCCTGTGCATGGATGTATATAAAGTTGATCCTGCTGTTCTGAGCTTCTGGGATTACAGTATTTTCTTCAGTTAACTGTCGCAAAACACAACGCCGCATGGGTCAGATTACCTGTAAAAGCGATGGTGAAGGAACGAGGTTCGGCTACCTGTCGCGGACGGACCATGAGCGAGACCTGCTGGCTGGGTGCTCGAGGAAAGGGTGAGAAGTTTGTGGTCAATTTATCTATTGAACTGTAGGAAGCACACCTGGATGGAAAGTCTGGAAGCAGAGAGTTATGTTGAAACCACTGGCTCTCTCTCCTCGCCTCCCGCGCGTTAGGAAAAACGCTCACCCTTCAGTCCCTGAAAATGTTTTGCGAAGCGGAAGAGAGCGCCTCTGAGAATGTGCAGAGCGCGTTCCCCTTTCCGACTCTTCACACTCCACAGCTAGTCTCAAGGGAACTTTCGCGCCAAAGGCGTGGCTTCTAGCGGGTGGGTGGGAAGCACCAGCCCCGAGAAGCACTTCCGTCGACTTTCTTTACCAGCGCAGGCCGAGAAAGCCCAGGCGCCGCCGGCGACCCTGGCAGACTCCCTCCCACCGCGGATGCGCTGCCTCCTCCCGCTCCGCAGACGGGGCTGCCCGCCCGATGCCGGGGCGCCTGGTGGCAGGGAGTTGCAGCGGCTGGATCTGCTGCGGGGATTGGCCGGATCCCGGCCGCCCTCTGCCTCCATGTGACGGGGGACGTAGGAGGAAGGCGCAAAGAGAGAAAGAGAGAGAGAGAGAGACAGAGAGGGAGATGGAGGGAAGGGAGCAGGACGGAGGAGGGAGGAGAGGAGCCAAGCGAGCCGACGACGAGAGCCATGGAGGTTCAGAGGAGCCGAGGCCGGCCAAGGGGCGCTTCAGGCCCGGGCTGGGGTAAGGCGCGTCCTGGGAGCCGTCGCCGCGAGGGGCAGGGGTTGCTGGTGGGGAGGCTGCCTGTTTACAAAGGGGGGCAACCGCCGGAGCCTCTGCTTCCCCGCTTCAGGCGCGCAGGCGGCCGCCTCCCTTTCCGAGCAAAAGCCAGGAGGGCCTCTGTCGCCCCCCGCCCCCAAGCCGGACTTCTGTCAGAGAGGCTCCCGGCTGACCATTGCGAGAAGCAGGAGCCTGGGCTGCACAACAGGCCCGTGCGCTCCCTCAGAGTCCCAGCCTCTTCTGGAAGAGAACTTGCAGCCCGTGCAAGAAGGGACGGGGCTTCTTCGGTGGTGAGGGGAAGGCTTGGGGGACCTTTGGGGTTCTAGTAAAAAAACCCGAAACTTAAACCCAACAACTACCCACAGGCTTGAAGGCTCCCCACCCTGGTGAAGATGCTGCTGCTGTTACTGTTGGTGGGCAGCTTGTGGCTGGGGATGCAAAGCGGTCCTGGAAGGTGATAAACTTGGGTGCAATGCAAGCGAAAGCTGTCCAGCCTCGGGAAGGTGGTGGCGAGCCCGGCCTGTCCTGCATGTTTTCCTCAAAACATTGTCATTGGGAAGTTCCCTAAGTTTCCTAGCGCTGCAGAAGCTCAGTTCTAGGCCGGACAGTAGCTCACCTTGTTCTTAATTGAATTGCAAGTTTATGGAGGAAAAGGCTGTCAGTGGCTGCTAGCCAGAAATAAAAAAAATTTTTTTTTAATTATTTGTACCCAGCCCATCTGATTGGATTGCCTAGGAAGGCTATTGGAGACAGTGTGCCTCTGAATTGTCCATTGCTGGGAAGAGCCGTTCTGCTCAGGCTTGTGCTTGCAGGTTCCCTGTGAGCATCTGAGAACAGGAGGATGGACTCGATGGGCCATTGAGCTGATCCAGCAGGGCTTAGCTCACAGTCTTCATAGGAACCTGGGATCTGATATGGTAGGGAAGGAGCACTTGTTTGGCAGGATGCTGCACTGTACCAGCAATGCCTTGCCCTCCAGCACTGGGAGTATCAGAGCTGCCGCCTCCAAACTGACTCATTCAAAGTAGATCAACCAGGAAAATGAACTGGAGAATCTCTCTCTCTGTGTGTGTGTGCACTTGCATCACTCATAAAGTTTCATTGAGTTCATGGGACTTGCTCCCAAGTTAGTCCGTATAGGATTGCAGCCATAATAAGCCAGTGTGGTGTAGTGGTTAAGAGCGGTAGTCACGTAAGCTGGGGAACCGGGTTCGCGTCTCCGCTCCTCCACATGCAGCTGCTGGGTGACCTTGGGCCAGTCACACTTCTTTGAAGTCTCTCAGCCCCACTCACCTCACAGAGTGTTTGTTGTGGGGGAGGAAGGGAAAGGAGATTGTTAGCCGCTTTGAGACTCCTGAAGGGGAGTGAAAGGCGGGATATCAAATCCAAACTCTTCTTCTTCTAATATCCCAGGTCTGGAAATAGGTTTGATGCTGCAGCCCTGCATAGTGACAAAGAGCTGCATTTCCTAGCCAACGGCTGGTTGGGGTGTCACAATGTCAATACTTGTCTCCTTTTGATGGCAGCAAACTTGTCATTGGGCTTTTTTCACTTGGGTAAACCTCTTCCAGGCTCTGAAAGAAGAGAAGCCCGCAGCTCCCAACTTTTCAAAGCCACCCCCTTGAACAGAACATCACTCAAAAAATGGGATGGCCACCAGCCCTTCAAAACGGTTAAAAGATCAGGGCTGGGCAGACATTAGGCTTGCATAATCAACTTGTATCTCTCACCTTTTGTTTGTTAGAACTTTGCAGTCTGGTGCCACCCCTCCACCATGTTCTTTAGGTGCCACAAATGCCCAGCAGATCAGTGCTTATGTTTCCAATTCCTCCTGGGCATGCATGGCCACAGTTGTCAGTTATGGCTGGAGTAGTGGGATGGAGCTGCCCTTCTGGATGCCAGCATCCTTGCAGCTAGCCTGGATGGGGTGGGGCAGGGTGGTGGTGAGGTTGGGGCTGTGCAGAAACACCAGCTGGAGCGCTGGTTGGCCAGTGTTCCTCCTGTGGATTGTGGCCAGTCCTTAGGCAAGAAAAGGAAACCTGAAGCTGCCAGGGCAGGGTTGGGTAACTCCAGATGATGGACCCCAACTGTCATAGCTGGGGATGGTGGAGTTGGAGTCTGACAACATCTGGAGGGCCCCAGGACTCCCATCCATGTGATGGCATATGTTGCCAGTCCATTTCTCAGCACAATTCAAAGTGTTGATGCTTACGTCTTAAAGTCCTTTATGGTATGGGATCTGTGTTCCTGGAGGAATGCCTGTTCTGACATCAGCTTGCCTGTGTGTTGAGATCATTGAGAGAAGTCCTCCGTTGCTTGAAGTGAGCTGGGTGGCAGCCTGGGAGAGGGCCTTCTTAGTGGTGGCACCCTCTCCATGGAATTTCCTCCCAGAGATGCTTTCTTGGTGCCTACACTGCTGTCTTTTCAGGGCCAGATATCCTTGTTTTCTCAGGCTTCTAAGGTTCTATGATACCTAGGTTTCTTGTGCTAAACTTGTTGTTATTGCTGTATTTTAATGGTGTACCTCTGCATATTCTATACAGTAAGCAGAGAATACTTTTATTTCCTTTTCGGTTGAAGTGACCAGGATGGTCCCAACAACAAAGGAACCTTGACTTTGTTAGACTTATTTTAATTTACTGCTTTGAATTCCTGGCCTTATTATGTTTGGTTTTATGTGTCTTTTTTGTACGGATTTTTTATTTTTTGTAGCAGCCAAGCATACATTATTTGTTCCTTTTAAAAATGCATTTGTAAATGTGTGTAAATAAATATGTATGCCTGGCTACTTTTAAGAAGTCCTTCCTCAGTACAGTGGGCTTTTTGGATGGCAGGGGAAGGGGCACAGAATAGAGGGTTCCCAAATAGGATTGTTGTTTTTTCCCTGATTCCTTTTTTCTTATTTTCAGCTTGCAGTTGGATATGGAGAGCCAAAGAACATCCGTTCTCCACCGGGTGGTCAATTTCGCCCCCAGTCCTCTCCCTGGTAAGACTTGGTGTTGGGCGAAGAGCCATGATTATCACCACTCTGCGATTGTAGGTATTCACAGTCTGCCTTTATTCCTCCCAGCTAGGCAGTACGACACAAAGACCACTGAGCCAATCAGCTTCTACCTCTCTGGCTTGGAAGAGCTGCTCTCCTGGAAGCCCACTAGTGATGATGCTTTCAACGTGTCCACAGAGCCACTGGCCAAACACGAGCCTCCTTTCAACAGCCGTAGGCCCCGCACGCTGGTGTGCCATGATATGAAGGGAGGTTACCTGGAAGACAGGTTGGAACTGGGGCAGATGCTGAAACGGGAGAGCTTCCAGATTCAGAAACAATAATTCTCTTTTTGCCAAACTAACCAGAATTGGCTCAATCTGGTCTTGGCTGAGTTTGCCTTGGTTGCAGCCACATGGATCTGAAGAGTGATTAACTTGTACCAATATTAGTTATAAATCACACTTTGGATGTTTAAAACGTTTCACATACTTGGGGTTGCATGCAACCAAGTCCTACTCAGAGTAAACCCATTGAAATAAATGCGCCCCCCCCGTTAATTATGTTTAAAACAAGCTTTAAAATGTTATTTTGCAGAGAATGTCAGCCTGGATATAAGTACCCCATGCTGGGGGACACGATGAAGTCTATGCTCTGTGGACATTGCGATAGGGGAGCGTATTGGTGCAAAAGATAACAGCACCTGAGGGTGGTGTCTTTGGTCTTAAAACAACAGATGCTGAATATTGACATATGGGATCAGCCAGCTCCTTAGAGGCACTAAAAACAACATGGGCAAAGCAGCAACTGCTAGAAACTGATTGCATCTGCAAGGCCCTTGCTTATTTGCGTAGCTCATCCTATGAATTTGGCAACAAGGCCTCATGCCTCCTTGCTAATGCTCAGAAAACCCCCCACCAGAAGTCTCTGAATTTGATCACTGGGATTTGTGACCAAAGCTATGTCAAGGTCCGTAAGTGCTAGTAATATAATAATAATAATAATAATAATAATAATAATAATAATAATTTATTATTTATACCCCGCCCATCTGGCTGAGTTTCCCCAGCCACTCTGGGCGGCTTCCAATCAAGTGTTAAAAACAAAACAGCATTAAATATTAAAAACTTCCCTAAACAGGGCTGCCTTCAGATGTCTTTTAAAGAGAAGATAGCTGCTTATTTCCTTCACATCTGAAGGGAGGGTGTTCCACAGGGCGGGTACCACTACTGAGAAGGCCCTCTGTCTGGTTCCCTGTAACCTCACTTCTCGCAATGAGGGAACCCCAGAAGGCCCTCGGTGCTGGATCTCAGTGTCCGGGCTGAACGATGGGGGTGGCCCCACGTACAGAGTTAGTCCTGCTCTGAGTAGGATTAGCACTGAATGCCCCCTGAACTGGGTCCCCAAACTTCATTCAGGTGGTCTGCAGTTGGTCTGTAAAAATACAATTAAAAATCATTTAGCACCTAGCACAGTGCATTACAATTGTTACAACAGGCAGAAAATTCAATTAAAGTGGTCCACCAAGACCCTCAGATATTTTCAAGTGATCCAGGGGGGAAATAAGTTTGGAAACTACTGCATTAGCTCATTGATCCCTACATTGGCCATGTATGACCTTTATTATTACCACTGCATTGAAGGTGGTGCATGCAGAGTAGAAGAAGAGGTGAGATGAGATTTCAGCTGCTAGCTTCTTGGTTCACAGACCCAAACTATGTGTTAACATTGGCAGTATGTTTATATAGGGGTGCTTTGGACTGGGAAAACCTCTTCCACAAAGGCAGCACCACCAATCCTGATCGCGACCGTAGCATAGAAGGATATCGCTGTCACTAAGAGGTTCAGTCATACTAGCCAGGTCCAGTTCCTGGCAGAGGTCATTCACCAGGGTGGTGTTTTCAGTCCTTCCTGCACTCCAGTTACAGTGGGTTAAGAACGTGCAAAATTAAGAGCAGGGAAAGAGATCAGGGAAGTAAATCTGGTTTCTGCAAGCAACCAGGGGAATTTCACTTCTTGTTGGATTCTCTTGAGGGAGGGTGGTGGCTGGGCCACCCTAGCTTCAGGAAATCGCAACAGCTTGGACTGGTTTAGTTCCTCTGAGCAAGATTATAGGACCTGAAATATGATTCATACCTACTTTGTATGAGATCTGCCATCCTGAGTCTAATTGTACCCTGTTGGGTATAATGCGCGCTCTCTCGCTCTCTCCTCTTACTTCTGGCAGGTTCATCCAAGGCGCATTGGTGGATGACCCCTTTGTGTTCTACCACTGGTGCTACATTGACATATTTGTTTACTTCAGTCATCACAACGTTACCATCCCACCTGTGGTCTGGACTAATGCTGCTCACCGCAATGGAGTCCTCATGCTAGGTGATCTTTGCTGGGCCATCCCCTGGAGCATATGATACACATAGTGTTTGGGGCCTGTGGGAGGGAGGGCCTCACTCTCTAAGTCGTCCTTTCCTTACTCCACCCCTTTGCTGAGTTGCAAGAGGCAGGAGTTGCAGTGGGTGGTACTTCTTTCCTCCTATCAGTTGCATTCTTGACGCATGCTGCAACTTATCAGGGGTGGATAACTTGTGGCCCTGCAGATGTTGTTGCTGGATTCCAGCTCCCATCATCCCTGAAACGTTGGCCATGCTTTCTAGGGCTGATGGGAGTTGGAGTCCCACAACTTCTGCAGGGCCGTAGGTTCTCTGCTGTTGAAAGTCTGGGGCCACCCACAGCCTCCATTCCTGCTAATCTCCCACAGCACTCTGCTTTCTGGGAGATGCAGGGAGTTTTTGCAAACAGCTGCTGTTGCTGTTCCACTCTTTATAGCCGTGCTTCAAGGCACAGGCAATTGCCGACTCCTCTGACATTGCTTGTATTTTGGGTATTCCTCTTTCCCCCCTGGAGGTTCCTCAGGGCTCAGCTCTTAAGCCTTCCTGTGGCGCAGTGGCTCACTGCGCTTGGCTGTTAACCAGAAGGTTGGTGGTTCGCACCCACCCAGGGATGGCTGCGGGCAGAATTCTTGTGTTGCAGGGGGTTGGGCTAGATGACCCGCGGGACCCCTTCCAACTCCAGGATTCTGCGGTTCTCCTGATGCACAGAGGTTTTGGATGGTCCAGGAGACGAGCCGCTCTGTTTCTTCCTTGCGTTTCCTTCCCTACCTGTAGGGACCTTCATCACAGAGTGGGGAGACGGTGCAAAGATGTGTGAGTCCTTCTTGGCAAGCGAGGAAGCGTACCGCGCCGTGGCTGATCAGCTGGCTGCGATTGCGCAGTTCTATCGTTTTGATGGTTGGCTGGTCAACATTGAGAACTCTCTGAGTGTAAGCAAGCAACATTTCCCCTCCCCTGCCAACCTTGGCCTAGGAGGGGAGTTAGGGTTCATCCATACACAGGCCGTATGTGTGTTCCTTAAAGTCCCTGGCATTGCTCAGGGGGAGCAGGAGCTATACCTAGGGATATGCTCAGTATCACAATGCAGCTGTGATATGTATCCCCACGTCAGAATTTCTTCCTTTAGGTCCCTAGGATCCTCAGAACCCCAGGTGGCCTCTTACCTTCAGAGACTGGCTGGGTAGGCCCCTTACCCCTAGGGCTTGAAAACCCCCTTTACGTCGCAGAACCCCTTTCCTATTTTTATGCCTGCCTGCTAGGGCTGGGCGATACCTAGTTTTCAACCCCGTGATATTTCACCCACTGAACATCATGATATACTGATATATTATGATGTCTGAAATAAGGATGGAGCTATGCATAGCCATTGGCTGGCTTCATGGTTTCCCCCCACATTGTGATTTTCGTATAGCATACACATCATGATTCGTGATGTATCGCCAGGTCAAAAATTACGAAACTGATATCGCAATATGGACTTCAAACTGGTTTTGGATGCTATATTGCCCAGCCCTGCTGCCTGTTCCCCAAATTACTTATAGCACAGTGATTCCCTTTACCTGCCCATGCTAGTCCACACTGTTGCCCTACTGGCTCACCCCTTAGAGTTGCCCCCGAACATCTTTCCTCTCTCCAGTTCTCTTCTTACCTTCCTTGCCTTGTCATTTCTCCTCCCCTGTCCCTTTCATAAATTTCCTGGGGCCTCTCCTCCAACACTCCTTTCCCATCCTTCCTTTTCCATCCCCACTCTGGGCCTCTGATGAATTCTGTGTATCTGCTGGCACTCAGCTGCCTGTCCCCTGGAAAATATATATTTCCCAAACTGAGGTGTGTCAGTCTCCCTGGCTTTGGGCAGCATGCATATAACATCACTTGGCATGCTGAATGATGGACCAACGGCCTCCCAAGGACCTGTCGCGCTGGCTGATTGGTGCAATTCTTTCATGGCAGGTGTCGGCAGCGCGTAACTCGGTCCACTTCTTGCGCTATCTGACGGCCCAGGTGCACAGAGCTGTGCCGGGAGGGCAGGTGGTGTGGTATGACAGTGTCCTGCAGAACGGGGAGCTCAAGTGGCAGAACGAGCTGAACGAGAAGAACCGGTGAGTGATGCCCCTCCCTGTTCTACAGGCAGTGGGTCTTGCCCTGGGGATCAGAGGAAGAAGGGCAGCACATCTGAACCTGAGGGTAGCCCCACAGAATCTCTGCCCCCTGCCCTGCAGCATCTCCCTGATACACTTGGCCTGCCGAGGGGAGCTCGTGTGTGGTACAAAATAGCCAAGATCTACCGTAACCAAGAGCTGCAATGCACTAGTGCAGTGTTTCTCAAATGTGGGCCCCCAACTGTTCTTGCAACTACAACTCCCATCATCCCTACCTAACAGGACAAGCGGTCAGGGATGATGGGAGTTGTAGTCCAACAACTGCGGGGGACCCAAGTTTGAGAAACACACCACGCTAGTACATTGTAACAGAGAACAAGAAAACCAAGCATGGGCCTCAGCGAATGGTAAGATGCGAGAGATCGACAGGCATGCCTGCTAAATCCCAGCTATCTGGAAGACCAAACTTGACTCAGGGGGCTGTATCCTTTTGGGGTTTGTCTCTAGTGCTGTGGCAGAGATGGGGAATCTCCAGGTCTCCAACTCCCATCAGCCCCAGCCAGCATTGTCAGTGGGCACAGGGATGATGGAAGTTGCAGACCAGCAAAAACCAAGGGCCACAAGTTTCCCTCTCCTTCCCCAGGCGGTGTAGAAAGTATCCTGGAAAGGGACAGGAATTCTCTCTCCCCCATTTTTCACAATGCATTTTCCCTGGTCCCTGTAAGCTGTGCATGGTCTACAGCTAAAGCATCCCTTGGGCCAGCCTGGGCTGCTAGGATCCATCCAGCTAGAGCTACCTGGAAGGGCCTGTAAAGCCTTAGGCCTTCTGGACACCACAAAGGGTCCTAGAATGAGTTGGAAGGGACCACGAGGATCATTGAGTCCAACCCCCTGCAATGCAGGAACCTTTTGCCCAACGTGGGGCTTGAACCCACAACCCTGAGATTAAGAGCCTTGCACTCTTCCATCTGAGCTATCCCAGACGTTCCTCCGTTCCTCGTGCTCATGCAGGGTTTACTTTGATGCCTGTGACGGTTTCTTCACCAACTACAACTGGACGGAGGAGCACCTGCTGCGTACGCGAGAGATGGCCGACGACCGCCGGGCGGACATCTACGTGGGCGTGGACGTGTTCGGCCGTGGGGCTGTGGTGAGCAGCGGCTTTGACACAAACAAGGTAGGCAGGCTTTGGGGCTTGTGGGAGGCTTGCTGCCCTTGTGGCTCACAGTTCCAGGCTGGAACTTCCCACAGTGACTGAGAGCTGGAGAGGGCAGTTGTGGTTGCCTTGGGGTGGGCGGAGTGAAGCCTTTTAAGACCCAGCCTCCGCTGTTGCCCTGGATAGGTTGGCTCCCCTGTTACAGAGGGAGGGGGCAGGGCAGTTGCCACCCTCCCAGCACCCCTTGGCTGCCCACACTCTGGAGCCCCCCCACAAGAGGAAATGGTGACTTGGCGTTCCTTGTGTCCCTGCAGTCCCTGCGCATGATTCGGGAGCAGGGCCTCTCGGTGGCCATTTTTGCACCTGGCTGGGTATATGAGACCTTAGGCCCGACCGACTTTCTGAACAACGAGGACAAGTAAGATCCAGCAGGGAGGAGGAGGGGCTTTGGGAGGGGAGGGGACTCTGCCGGAGGGCCTGCCTGGCTTGGCTTCACTTTGCCTGACTGCCTGGGATTGTCCGGCCCCCTGTGGCCTATTATGGGAGGGTCTTTCTGACAAGCCCCCACAACAGTGCAGCAGTGACCCAAGTTTCCTTTGGGGTTTGCACAGTGGCGTGGAAGACTTCTCAGCGCGACTCCTTTCTCACTTGCTGGTTTGCAGATTCTGGGCCCTGCTCTCCGAACTGCTGCCCACTCACAGCATTGGCTCCCTCCCCTTCAGCACCTCTTTCTCCCTGGGGATGGGGAAGAGGCACTTCCACAATGGGCAGGTAAGAGTATCGAGCAGTTTTGGGCAGAAGAAGCACAACTGCCTTTTTTAAGCCTTTGCAACTTGACTCGCCAGCCTCTGCTTTGAAACGACAACTTGCTGCATGTGATCTATACAGACTGGAGACCCAGTAAGGCCTTCTGGATAGCTCACTGGGCGGTATCCCCAGCCCAGCTGATCTGCCTGAAGTGTCAGCGACTAGAGGCCTCAGATTCTTAACCTTCGGGGACACTCTCTTTCAGAGCTAATTTTCCCACAGTCTTTCCTGTCGAGGGCTCTTGAGCTTCAAGTCCCTTTCCACCCACAGGAAGACACTGGAGCCTGAATTGCAGAGAATGAGGAACACAACTCTATAGCTTCCTCCACCTCTTGCTGGCCGGCTGAGTCTGTGACTTGTTTCCAAGCTGAATTCCCCACCCCACCCCTGCCCGGCCACCGTCAAAGCCTTTTAAACCTGGTCTGGTCTTTTCCTCTCTGGGCTTCTCTGCCCTCCTGTTTTCTTTCCAGCCAAGGTCGGCTCTCTTTCTACTTGAACAAGTCCTTCTGCAGCCAAATAGTGTTTCTATTCCCCAGCCTCTGCTTCAAAGCAGTGTCTGATGGGGTGGTGGTATGATTGGCAGGGCGAAACGGTAGGCAGGTGTATGTGATCTTTTTAGAACCTGCCAATCTTTCCTCCGCTTGAATTCCTGGTCACTTTCCTCCCTGCCAGTCTTTGAGAAGCATGTTTGTTATTGGGGGTGAGGGGGGCAAACTCTGCCCGAGACCCTGGAATATGGGCTGCCAGTCATAGAGGGCTTGATACAGAATAAGGCAGCTTTCTACAGAAGCAACGTGGACTGTGTTTTATGTGGTTAACGGCATCCTTGCACTGCATATTTGTTTGGGGGTGATTTGGTTTGGTTACCCTTTTAAGAATCAACAGCGGCATTCGATTTTAACGTACTCACGCCTTCAGAGGTTAATGGGAGCTATTGAGAGCCACGATGAAACCTTAGCAGAGCGCTTCCCTCAAGGGCCATGCATCAAGCAAGACATCGCCACTTTGGGGGCTTCCAGCCAATCTCAGCCCTGCTTTTCTCAGGGCTTCAGTGTGTCGGGGAAACTCCCCATTTTAATGCATACTCCTTTGCACACCCCCTTGGAAGTAAGCCAAGAAAGTATGCAATTTCAGCTTCTGATCCTTTCACAAGACAGGCTAGTATAGCAAAAGTATAGCATTTCCAATGCACGCTCCCCCTCCCCTAAGTGCTTGCCGACCAGGAAGAAAGTCCCGAACTATTTCAAAGGAAGAATCAGCTCGCTAATTAGGTATTTAAGAGGCTTATCTTCCCAGTTGGCCCAGGAAGACTCCTAATAGTGTAAGAGGCCCGATGCTTCCAGATGGGAATTTGCACGAAGCAGTGGAACACAAGATTTCGTTGACCTGTAATGCTAGCTTCTAGATACATTTTCCCTGGGCATGTTGGAAAGGTATGCTCTGGAGACTTAAGGGAACACAAGAATAATCCTGTTCAAGGTGGAAGGCAGTTTTGTTGCCATGCCCAGGCTGAATTCCCAGTGGCTCTTTTTCTCTTTTTCAGGAGAGTAGGATGGAGCCCTGGTACCACCTGAGCGCTCAGGAGATCCAGCCACTGTACGCTGAGTTCTGGATGCCCAATGGGGGCCGACTGAGAACGCGCTGCTGCCTGCAGGATGCCTGGTGTGGGGGCAGCTCCCTGCTGCTGGAAGGGACTATCCCGTCCAATGAAGATCACGTCACAGCCAGGTGAGCAACGGTTGAGATGGCTGCAGGGTTTTTTTATTGGATGCGGGAGTCATATCGGGGGGTGGGTGTGTGTGTGCTGCTCTTGCAAAGGGACTTCCTTAAAAAGCTGGGAGCAGGCAGAGGAGAGGAGAGCAGAGCCTGCAGACCATATACAGTGGTACCTCGGGTTACATACGCTTCAGGTTACAGACTCCGCTAACCCAGAAATAGTACCTTGGGTTAAGAACTTTGCTTCAGGATGAGAACAGAAATTGTGCTCCGGCAGCGCGGCAGCAGCGGGAGGCCCCATTAGCTAAAGTGGTGATTCAGGTTAAGAACAGTTTCAGGTTAAGAACGGATCTCTGGAACAAATTAAGTACTTAACCCGAGGTACCACTGTAATGAACACAGTTGCCTGCACCTGTGTGCAAAACAGGCTTGCATGTACCCAGTTGGCATGAATCGTGGACGTGCGGCTGCGTGTGCGATGTGGATCATTCAGCCCAACCCCTGCCCTCTTAACTGTTTTCTCAACTTGAGTGTTTCCCCACATTCTCTTCTTAATCCAGGGAAACTGCTACACAGCCTTTGCTTCCACTAAGAAGCCTTTACGGAGACCTACTGTAAAGGTCTTTTCCCTGTCACGGCGCATCACTGTCCCAGCGCTGACCATGTTCCGCTTTCCTGGGAGCTGCTTCTCAAAGGTGGAGCAAAGTTAGAGACTGTGACTGCCTGCCTGCCTCTGCAGGGATCCTGACAAGCATTTGGCTAAGTTGGGGGTTGGTGGTGGTGAGGCTGAGCTGGGTTCCCCCAAGCAAGGAGCAGATTTGGAGGGAATACAATGTTTGAGACACTCAGGATGTTGTCATCTGGGATAGAGGAGTTTTCATGGGCTGTTTCATCATGGAAAGAAGGGGGTTTGAGAAAGTGCGGCTGACCTGGAATCTTCAGGGCCCAGCCATGAGCTCAGTAATGTGGGAAGGCTCAAACTCCTTTGTGCATCCGCCCTTACCATCCTCAGTGTTCCTGCGTGTCTGTGAGAATGAAGCCCTTGCACCTTGCATGCCTAAACCCCTTCCTTTTGCAGGTGGCGGCTGCCTAGTGCCCAGAGTTGGCCGTGACTGTGTCCTCTCTCTGTCTCTCTTCCTGTCTGTCTGGGGCTTTTGGGGGCGGGGGTCACCAGGCTGTTTTCCTTCCAGGTGCCAGCACCCCCCCGGCTGTTCCTGGTCATAATTTATAAACACGAGGCCTCTTCCCAAGGCGTGAGCTTTGCACCGGTGTTCACCACGCGGCAGTCAAGTTCCTGTTTCTCCAGCGGCGAGTCGGGTGAGGAAACGCCAGGCCTGCTTTGGGGGCTCTCACTCTGACTGCCCAAAGGAAGGGAGCTTGTGGATCCCCCTCTGACGGGCAGCAGAGGCCGGGTGAACGATAGCTTCAGATATTGACTGATCCCTGTTCTGTCTGCTGCCTCTCCTTCATTGCTCTCTTCTTCCCCCCCAGGAGAACCAAGGAAGCACAAACCCTCCCTGCTCCCCACGCCTCCCCATTACCTTGCTCAGCTGCTCAGGGGGACAGGACTGCGTGGGGAACATGACTGGCAAAGTCGGTGAGTAGAAGGGATTGACAGAATGCATGACTCTTGGGGTTTTGTTTGTTTTGTTTCTTTCTTTCTCCTTGAACTGACCATTTTAGTGGTGGCCTGGCAGCCTTTCCCCTCTTGTTGGATTGTAGTTTGTAAACTCTCTGGGTTTGTAAACCATCTTTGACGGCTCTGCATGAAATAATAATGGGGCCGGGCAGGGACGGTGTTGGGGCCTGGGAACCAAAGAGCTACGGGCAGTGTGGGATGGGCTTTGCAGTGCCCTCAAACTGACAGGACCCCGGCAGCTTACATTCTCTCTCTCTCTCTCTGTTCCCCTCAACAGATGCTATGAGCTGGAGCTCCAGAACTGCTTCCTGGACCAACTTTCAGTGACTGTGTCGCGTCGCCAGTCTGGCCGGAATGAGGTGCCCTTTGCATGCCGCCTGGGCAGGATCTGGGTGAGTAAGCGGTGGAGGCTAGGATGGGAAGCCTCGTGAAAATGGAGAGAGGGGTGGGTCAGCCGGCTTCCCCATGAAGCGCTGTGTTCTCTGTGGGCCTCTCGCAGCCCTGCTAAGCCCGAAAGGAGGAAGGTCTTTGTCCCTGGTTCTTTAAGTAAGGTGCTATGACATAAAACAGGGATGGGGAAACTGTTACTCCAAGCCCACAGGGGCTGCTTGAAGGCAATGCAAACGTCCTCCTGTTTTTGAAATTTGGCACCTTCTACTCTCTTAACCAAGTTTCTCTAGAGCCTGGCGAGCTCTCCTTCTCCCTCCCTTGCTGAGTCACATACTCAACATCTATCCTTTGCAGCTGCAAGGCTTTGCCACTGCAGGCCAGGTGGTCTTGATGACGCAGTTTCTTTCTTACCAGTTCTGGCCTTGCAATCAAAGAAATACTAAGATCAGGCCAGAACTTCTTGCTACCCCTGATCCCTGGGCAGATGGTTGCCTTGTCCTTGGCATTCTTGGTGGCCCCAATTCAGCCTGGTCTTTATAAGGTGGGAGAGGCCTCTCTGCACCCATCTCCCTTCATCGCACTCCTGTTTCTTTGGGGCCCCTGTTCCTGTTTTTATGTCCGTCCTGTGTGTGTTCCTCCACAGGTGCTGGATGCCACAGCTTTGCGCCCGCTGCCATCCGCTGATGCTGCCATCCCAGTGTCGCCTTTAGAAGTTGCCCATGTCCGTTGGCAACGACTTTCAGCTGGAGAGCTCTCCCTCAGCCTCACTTTGCGCTGGACCTATCCTCCCAGCAAGGCCACCTGCTTCCGCGTTCACTACCGCAGGGGCTCGTGTGGCAGTGGTCCCGAACCTCGCCCGCTCCCAATCGGGGTGGCGTATGCCCCCCAGTACCGGGTGACTGAGCTGACTGTGCCTGGCGCCCTTTCTGAGTCCTCCTGCCGCTTGGAGTTCCTTGTGGAGCCGGTGCCCGACGATGGGTTCCAGGTAGACGCTGCGATGTGGGGGAAGCTGGTCTTTGTGTACTCTGATCCAAAGCTACCCAGTCCTGGCCCAGCGCCTGAAGGAACCTCATCCAGTTGATTTACATTTGGATCCTAGTAGACAATGCCCTTCTCCGCTTCCCAGATCTGTGCTATTAGGCCCTTTTTAAAGAGGGAAGAAGGCTTTTATTGAAGGCACTGGAACTCGCGTGCTCGGGCATCAGAAGCCCAACCACGGACAATTCAGTATCCAAAGATAATTTTTCATTGGGGATACCACTTTAGTGGAATAGTTATCATGCACTAGAACAACAACAACAAAATATTTCAGGGAAGTACACCCCAACAAAACAATTCCACACTTGTGATATGGGCTACAGAACAGGCTTATCAAGTCACATTAAACTCTTATAACATCCTTTTTAAAAAACCTGCACCAATAGTTACCTATCATGTGGGCTGAAACAACTCGAATTGCAGCTTTTTTGATGCTGAAGTAATGTGTGTATTTTATCATTTACATAAACTGATAAACCAGGGCAGAGGCGGGGTGGGTGGCCTAGCTGGCATGAGCCTACGATTTTGAGGGGCCTGCTTCCAAGTTCCCCTGTTAGAGGCAAAGGGGAGACCCATTGGTAAAGATTGTTGAAATGGGGCCTTCATTTCCCATCTGGCCTGGGTCTGTTACCAGCTTTGCACGGCCCTGGATAAAGCTGTCAGTTCTCCTCACCAACACATTTTCAGCAAAACCTAACTGGGAGACTGTAGCTTTTGAATGCAACCAAATCTCTAAATTTCTTTTGCCCTGAGAAAATTCATGATAACGTACATCCCCACCCCTTCAATCTATTCTACATTTCTTATTTATAAGGAGACTTTAATTATGACAATATATCAGGCACTTACCTAAGAAAACTGAAGCCACAGGAAGGTATTTTCAAAAAGAGTAGCCCTTAAGGGTGGAAAAAGTACACATGGGGGAAGTCTGACGTGTTCTAGTACCTGGTGAATTCCTGCCTGCTCCTTCAGATTGATTTTTTTTAAATAAATTTGTTCTGCTTGAATAGAGTTTATATGACTAAGGAAGACATGCAAGTGAAAACGGGTCTGGCAGATGAACTGTTTTTCTACAAAATATGTTGTGACTGGTGATTTACATTGACACTTTTTACCTCCTGTGTCTTATGAAATGATAAAATGTGTGCTTCATTACTTTTTTGCATTAGGAGCTCTGGATATGCTGATACCCTTAAACTGCATAGTGACGCACAACAATTCGCAACACAGTTATTTATTTATTTTTCAAAATTTCTTTAAAGAAATGTTTTTAGTAGCATGTTGCAACTTTTAATGAACTCTGTCATTGTGCAATTTTGACCCCTAACATTGGAATACAATATAGTTGCTCTCTCGCGCCGGAAGTGCCTTCATTGAGACAGCAAGTGATTTATACAGTGGAATATCTCCATGTTCAAGGCAAGGTGCTGAACTCCAGAAATTTAAGAGGGAAATTGGAATAGCCTTTTTTTTTTTTTAGCACTATAGGGATGGAGATGTGTGCATTTTCATAAGGTCTTAAATGGATGACATAAGGGAAAAAGGAATGCAGAGTTTTGAATATGTATATTTCTATAATTACAATACCAAAATCTTAAGGCTAATCAACCATAAATGAAATACTGGACAATCACCGTGTTTATTTGCACACCAAATTTTTGCTCTATTCTAAACTTTATTTTACTATATCTTAAAGAGTCAGAGCTATTTATAACTTCCACTATTTTCCTCCTTTTTTGAGCTACTAATAAATTCACAATGTCTCGTCTTCTCTTTCTCTTTTACTAGATACAATTGAGGTAGTAGTTAGAACAAGCATACCAATCAGAACGTCAAACAAAAACCACTCAATGTTTTCTTTGAGGCATTTTGAATTCAAATTTAGGGAAGACAAAAGTGGGCTAGCACTCCTATGGTCAGACAAGAACATTCACATGATAATAGCTTTTAAAAAAAATATGAGCAAATCCATTTCTCCTCCCTTCATGTAAACAATACAGAGACGTCTCCAATTAACCAGTTTCCCCTTTCAAGCTGGGTGACATAGTAAACAGTGGTTATCGGCTTCAGTGATTACAGGCTTCATCATACAAAGTTGGTATTACGATCCTAGCTTTTCCTGAAGCTGGTAAGTCTAGTTTGAGTTTGGACTGTGATTAATTGGAGATTTCCACATTGCATTCAGGTACACCACAAACCGAGGAGAGAATGGGTTGTGTGCAGAGGCAAAATACATATTAAGCAGAAATGTGATAGTGTGGACAGGCCCTTGGCCTGAGACTGAAAAAGGGGACATGGCAGTGATCAACAAAGTCCACAGGATGGCAGCAGAGCTTTATGCTTGGCTGCTGCTGGTGTCTTCAGGACTTTGCGAGATAGAGCAGGGTGTCACTGAGCCCTAAGCTCCCAAAATGAATTAAAGATAACCAAGTTATTCCCATTCCAGAATCCTGAGCAGATCTATTCCAGTACCTTTGCAACTTTGCCAATACTTGCTTCAGAAAGAACCTGTCATATGCAGTGAGAGACAAGCTCTGGAGGTGTTGCTGCACTCTGCAGTGGGTTAGGAAACTTAGGCTTTACAGCAGGGGACTACCTGATGTCTTAGTGATAAAGGTGGGGAGGTGGGGTGAGAGAGAAAGAGAAGACAGGCATAACAGCAACAACCCAGGGCTAAAGGGACCAGTCCTTCGGCCAGCACAGCGAGCAAGTGTTTCCTGGAGAGGTGATCTCCACAAGGTTTGGCCAGTGGTGGTTTTGGGGCGGAGAGAGAAGAACGTGGAGGTGTGAGAGCCAATGGGCATTTCTGCATTTGCAAACATCCTTGTTTCAGGCCACCCCTGCCTCCTGTCTGCATAAAGTCAAGCAATCTCCTGTAGGCCTTCCCCAGGGCTGGGCTACTGCCTGCTGTGTAGCAAACTGACAGCCCCGTCACCTCGCTTACATTCCCACTCCCTCTCTCGTATGCGCGCACGCGCGCGCACACACACACACACACACACACACACACACACACACTTCTTTCTCTGTCCCCATCTCCAAATTTCTGATGCAGAGCCAAGCAAGAGAATTCCCTTGCAGTCCAGCATGCAGGCAATTAGCGGCATGGAGTTTGACCAAGCGTGATGTGCACAGGGACCTCAGCTTCTCTGCTGCACAGGCCTTGTCCCCATGTTCAGCAACATTTGCACTGCCAATGCTGCTCAGGTGGGCACGACTGCAGCAAGAGCAACAAGCTTGGCATTTTGAAAACTGTCTAACCCAGTCCGTTGCTTTAATAATGAAATTTCCTCCTTCAGCCAGAGCTGTAATGGGGTGTTTGAGAAATCCTGGTCTCCCAGCATTAACACGAGTATTGCCCTGTTTCCTATCATGCCTTTCACAGGCAGCCAATAAACTCTTCATTACCTACTCATGCTTCCCTGTTTGCTGGCCTTCTATTTCCTCACTTTGTGTAGAAGAGCAGGGGTGGGGAATCTGTGGCTCTCTGGATGTTATTGGAAGCCCATTAGCTCCAGCCAGCCTGGTCGAAGGCCAAAGGATGATGGGAGTTGTAGTCCAGCAACATCAGGAGGGTCACATGTAGTAGAACCACATTAAGAAACTTAATGCATGATGAGGTGTTCCTCCTGTGCAAATCCACTTTGTGTGACTGCCTTGAAAACTGCCTGCTGTTATCATCACCCACTTCTAATTCCGTGTGAAGATAGAATTGCAGTGGAAAAGCATCAGAAGCAACACATTAAGGTGTGGAGAGAAAAGTGAATGCAGAATTTGTGTTAATCCTTATACATGGCAAATGACAAGGGTGTGTGTGTAGCTGGACAGACAGAGCTACAGAACTGCTGGATATATTTACTAGCAGTGGGTCACACAAACAAACAAAAAACAGTTCCACACAATTTACCTGCATGGAACATTCATGGCTGTGTGATGCTGCAAAGGCTGTCAGGACTCTGTAATGGATCTGGCACATATATGGAGAAACATTGTGCTCCACCAAGAAGATGCAACTCATCAGCCATATAGCCTTCCAGGTGCTTAAATAGCTCTGCCCCCGCCTGCCTGCCCCGCCTGCATGTTTGCAGACTAGCAGGTAGCAAACGCAAAGGAGATTTATGGAGCCCCTGATCAGCAGCAGAGAATACCTCAGACCTTGCTTTCTCTTAAGTCAACATGGTCTCCTGTAGAGGTCACTAGACTCAAAATCCCATCTTCCCTGACCATTTGATCCCAGGCTGGCTGTGGCTGATGTTGGGAGTCCAGCTGAGCAGTGCATTTCCCATCGCTCCTGTAGTGATCTGCAATTGGAATACCGCTGACCCATGGCTCAACTCATGCCTCCTCCTCTCATGCTTCTTCCTGCTTGTGCTATTCACTGCCCCCCTCTCTTTCCCCCCACCCCCAAGTCAAAAGCTTGAGCCATCCTGGTTGAAGAAAGAAACCTTTATTAATAATCTTAATAATAATAATAATAATCAATAAATAATAATAATAGTAATAATAATAATAATACTGTTTATTTGAATGGTCACACCTTTGAAGCGTACAGAATGGGGTGGGTGGGCGGGCTGATGCTCCCAGGGTGGGAGACAGGGCAGCAAATGGGAGGAGCTTTATACAAGGGGGAGGGAGTGGCAAAGGAAGGGGCTATATACAACGGGAATAGAAAAGGAGGATCATCTGGTTGCTGGCGTGTCAGGAGCTTTAATGCTGAGTAGAAAGTGAGGTTTCATGAGATGAATAAGCCAAGGGGGGGGGGTTCAGGGTCAGCATGGGGAAGGACCAGAGTCCATCTGACTCTGGGAGCAGGTGGCAGGGTGTGGGGAGCGGGCCGTAGGACATGCACCCCTCCCACTATGGGCCATGGGCACGGAAGAAACCGATGGGAGAGAGTGTGCCCACTGGCGCCAGCAGGTATTTGCTCAGTTTGTGCACAGCCCTTGGTGCACAGCCCTGCCTCACTCCCTGACACCACCATGGGGCTGTGGCCTCCCACGGGCTTGGCCACGCAGTTGTAAGGACGTGCTTGTCCCGGTGGTGGTGGTGTGTGTGTGTGGTGGCAACCGTTGGCCCTTTGAGGATAGGGGTTGGGGGTTCTTGGTAGATCTGGAGACCACGGGCAAGGCGGGGATCGCCTCGGATGATCTCAGCTCTGTGAAGCCACAGTGAGAGCAGCCAGGCCTACTGCAAGGAAGGTAAACAGGGTGCAGCTTCTGACCCCCTCTGGGGCTGGTGGGAGCTGGGTTCTCGGGGGAAGGGGGGAAAGTGCAATCTCTTCAAAGGAAAAAAAACAACAACACCCCTCTAAAACCCGAGAATTCCCACCCACAGAAACAAGGTGGCTGTGCCCAGAAAGTCCCTGGCCTGGCCCTGCCTGGGCATCCCGAGGTCTTGCCAACTTGACAAATGGATGAACCAGCAAAGCACAAAAAGCATTGGGAGGTTCTGGGAAGCGAGAAGCAGGATTGCTAGCCCTGCGGGAGCGCTCGTGGCGTGTTCTGTGGTTAGGGGACGCCCGCAGCTCTTCTTCTTCTTCTTCTTCTTCAGGAGGGCTGGAAGGAAGACGTGGTGGCCTGGGAGGGCCTGCGGAATCCAGTCTGTGTCAGTGCCTGTCCCTGGCCCCGTGGGTCTGCAGCGGGGTGTGGGGGGAGCAGGGCACGGGTCTCCCGGTGTGCGGACGGCTTTGCAGAGTCTGTGGGCGGCTGCCGTCCATCCGTCCCGGTCGGTGGGTTGGTCGGTCGGCCGGTGCTTGAGCTCCGTCCGGATGGCCTGTCGCTTGGCTTGTTAGTTTTGTAACTGTTTTGTTGGCTCGTTAAGTTTTGTAACTGTTTTGTTGCTTTGCTTAAAAAAAAAAATTTTTTTTGTGCCCTTCCTGGTCCCAGAAGGAAACAGCTGAAGGTTTCACTACAACAGAAAACAAAGGCAGAACGTTCCATGGAGCAACCTGCAGGTGGCAGGCGGGGAAGACTTGGTGTCGGGGAAGGGCTTTCTGCTCTCTGGGGGTGTGCTGGTCTGGGTATGGTAGAGCTGGGAAGTGGGACCCTGGGACTCAGTTCCCAGCACCCAGCACCCGCCCCGCCTCCTATGTCTGCATAAGTGCCCTCCCCTCCCCTGCCCCCTTTCTGTACAGATGTATGTGCCAGACCTGCTCACACAGAGCGCTGCCCACCTCCTACATGGAACGGCTGCTCCCCATACGAACAAAGGAGCTGGGATCATTCAGCCCACCAGGAGGCTGGTCCCAACCAGCTCCTTCACATTGCTAGGCATGTGGTTTGATAAGCCTAGAGAGCAGGGGCTCCTTGCAGGGTCCCCTCTTCCCCCACCCGCTCTCACTCTTGCTGCATGCTTGGAAAGCTATCCTCCACCTCCCCCATCGCATCATTCCTCTGCAAGGGGGCAGCTTCCAGTTCCTGCAGGCAGAGGAAGCAAAATTCTCCCTGCTGTTGCTTGGAGGCTGAGTGCATCTAAGCAGCGTAAGGTGGGTTGGGACTGCAGCCTGCACCTGCTGGGATTCTGGAGCAGCCTGGGGCCCTGCCCACCTGGTCCTTGCGTGTGTGTGAGTGAGGAGCGTGGGCAGTTTGCATCCGAGAGGGATAACATCCTGAGTTCTTTTAACTGCACCCTCCCTCCCCTGTGCAAGGACCTGAACACCCGGCACAATGCAGGGGGCCTGACTGGGGGCCTATCTCGAGCGCCACATGGCCCCGGGGCTTGTGGCAGGAAAGCTTGGGAGCAGGGTGGGCTCTAGGGAGGCTCTCCGTGAGGTTCTGCTTGCTGGTGGTGTTTGGGTTTGTTTGGTCTGGCGGAAGCAGGTGCCTGTCCCAACCCTCCCCCCCGGCTGGTAGCTTTGCAAAATGAAAACAAACTTGGCGGCACACCATCAGAGACAGGTGGGATGTGAGGCATGAGAGGCGGCTTGAGGTAAAGAAATATGTGGTTTAGGCTGCCGAGGGCCAGCAGCGTGGGGCGGGGGCCCATGTCCATTTGATTTTGGTTTGATTTCTAAGGAGCAGTCAGTGTTACTATTGTGAGGAGGGGCTGGGTCTGTCTTGCTAGTAGGGAGTGAAGCGGCTGTACCCTCCTCGGTATAGACTAGCCTGCAACATCAAAGACGGAGAAAAAGCCAATCAGTATAAAGGAGAGGCACAGCCCATCCCTGCCCTGTTATTTCAGCCAAGACGGGGGTCCCTTGGGACCCCCAAGGCTGGCAGAGGCCTTGCTTTGTGGTGGGGACGAAGTGGTGGTGGTGGTGGTGGTTGGACTCAACTCCCAGCATGCAATGCTGTTGTGGGCCTGGGCTCACAAGAAGTCCAGAGGATAATGGATGGATAAGGCTGAGGTACATTTAAAATAAAATAAAATAAAGGAAAGCAGAGCTTTCGAAGCTGGAACTTAGCTGTTTCCTATGGACCATTTCAGTAGTAAGGGGAGAGAGATGGATTGCACTCAAGCCTCAGTCCCCTTCAGCCAGCCCAGGATCTTCCGCCCTGCCTCTCCCCACCCCCCGACACCCAAAAGAACTGAACCCAATTCCTTAAGCCCACGAGATGGCTGCAAAGGCCATTCGTTCCTTGTTTTATCGCTGGGAAGGCACTGACACCGTGGGGTGGGCTAGTGGCTTGGGTGGGGAAGGTTAGTAAAGCAGGGTGGCTTGGATGTTTCTCCTCTTTGATGCTGTATGTGAAAGCTGATTGCAAGGAGGCGTCACTGCAAGAAATGGGTGCGGCAGTGTGTGTGAGATCGGGAGTAGCAGGGAGTGGCGTTGGGCTGTGTGCTTGTGCAACCAACCCCACCCTCTGCCCTGCTCCAGTTCTCTGTCTAAGAGTTAGCTGCTCCTTCAGAAATGGTTCCTGAGCAAACGGCCACTTCCACTTGGACAAGATGCTGCCTGCTCTGGACCGCTTTCCCTACAGAGCAGTGCATCAAGGCAGGCTAAATAGGAGGAAGCCTGGTGACAGCCAAGAATGTCGCAGCAGGCCTGTGTATGTCCTTCCTAGTGGCCACGAAAGCAGGCGGGTCTGCACCAGGCCCTGTGTGTGTTGTGTGTTTCTGTCCTTCCCTCCCCACTCTTGGGATTCTCCTCCTTAGGCTTCCTTTCCCTGCATGGTGCTGAGGAGGCGGCTGCAACCGAGGGGTGAATTTGGATGTTTCCCAACACCCCTCTCTTTTTACCCTAAGTGGCCAGCCCAGCCCCAAGGCGGCATGCTTCCCAGACAGCCCCACGCGCAAATAGGTGGGAGGGAGGGTTCTTACCATAGTGCCAATGCTGTAGGTGGCAGCAGGGCCGATGGTGTGGTGGTAAGGATCTGCAGCTGCATAAACTCGGCCATAACTAGGAGCGAACACAGGGGGCAGCGTTAGAAACTGGGGGGTCGCAGAGTTGCCAACCCTAAATGTTAAGAAAATCATGAATCAGGCCCTGGATGTCATACATAGTTTTGTGGTTTTTTTTAAAAGTTCTAATACACCTCAACAGAAATAGCAGGATTATTTTCTGAGTTGTTAGGAAACAGCCCACCACAGAGCTTTCGGTCTTCTCCATACACACACACACAGAGCACTTCAAACTTTGGACACCCTTAGAATACGCCAAGATTTGTGAGCCATGTGCAAACTGCATCTTCATTCCCACCACTCTGGTTCCTTAAGCCAGGATAAAATTCCCCCTGAACATCTTCAGAAGGTCTAAAGGAAGGAAGTCGTTACTAGCAACCAAGGGCTGGCCACTGGAAAAGTGTTGCAAATAAGGGAAATTCTGTGCTTGGCACCAGAGTGCAGGGGAAAATACGCAAAACCTGAAAAGAACTGAGAGAGCATAAAAGAAACACACATTAAAATAGGTTGCGAGATGTGCATTCGGGAGCACCTGCTCAAGCCCAGCTCTTGCCCATCACCTGTGCTGCCTTGTCACAGATAGCAGTGGGCATGTTGCGAACTGAAAGAGCTGCCCTGGCATGGACTGCTGCTCTGGTTCCACCTTGCAGAGTATCTCCCGCTCTCACTGGCAGCACAACTCCCAGGTCTCTGGCCAGAATGACACATTACATGCCCAAGTTGTGTTTCCAGTCCCCTGGGCATTCCTTCTCTGCTGCAAAGTGGCAATTGCAGGGTGGGGGGCAGCGAGGTGTGCAAGAAAGAAGCCTGGGCCTGGAACTTGGCCAGAAGTGATGGGTGTGGGAAGAATGAAACAAGTGCCTGCCCCTTCCTCAGACTTGAGAGAACAAAGGTATTGGCAGCCCAGGGAGGGAAGGAGGAGGGAGGCTAGCTAGGGAGAGGCACCACAACTTGGGCTCCTTAAAAATCTGGCCAGCTCCTAGATCAACTGTGGGGGAACCTTTGACCTGTCAGATGTTGCTGAACACTGAGTTCCAATCATCCCTGGCCACTGGCCATGCTCGCTGGGGCTGATGGGAGCTGTGGCTCAGCAAGATCCAGAGGGCCAAAGGTTTCCCACACTTATCCTAGATGAGGAGTGGGGAACCTCAGGGCAAAATGGTCCTCTGAACACTCCCTGGGCTAGAAAAGGTTCCCTGGCTAGATGTTGTCCTAGATGGTGAACATTAAGTCTGTGATGCTGTGCATCTGTGCTTATTAGAAAAAGGAGATGGAGGAGGAATCGGAGTGAATTACAGTGTGGCAACCAGATGGAAAAGGGGATCGAGATGAAAAGAACTGGTTGTGTTTGGCACACAGGAAATGGAGGCTGAATAGTTTCCTGGCTGCCTCTGGAAAACAGGAAAGGGTGCAGGAGGATGGGGAACAGGGACTGGAGCAGATCCTTTGGCAATAATGGATCATATGAACCAAGAGGAAGAAATTATAAGAGGATTTTGTATGTGAGGAAGAGAAGGAACAAAGAGCTTAATTCCAGGGGTTCTTAGAATAATATTTCAAAAAGGAGAATGGAGTTGCAAGACTGATATTCAATAGCTGAAGTCTTAAAGCAGCAAAAACTCAGGGGATTTTAAGAATATTATTTATAGTTCAAATTACTTTGTGTGCATAATGATAACTTGGAGGTTTGAATACTGCAATGGGCTCTAAGTGGGGCTGCCCTTGGGTCTGGACTGGAGGCTTGTGGTAGGCAGATTGTGGATGGGGGCTTCTGGTCAGGGTCCTTCCCAACTCTACAATTCCATGATTCTAGAACATGTCACAGCATTGTTAAAACAGCTGCACACCTGCTAACCAAGCCAGGTTCAAGGTTCATGGATTGACTTACAAAGTCCTGAGTGACATGGGTCCAGGACACCTCAGGGATCACTGAGATCACATGCAGGAGTGTCTTTGGTTGTTCCCCGAGTTGGTGAGGCTTGTTTGACAACAATGAGAAGCCTTCAGTGTCAACAGCCCAGTCCTATGGAACACGCTGCCAACAGAGATTCAGCAGGCCTCTTCGGTGACAACTTTTAAATGCCTGCTGAAAACTTTTCTGTTCTGCCAGGCCTATGCAGGCAATTAAGAGTACACCTGTTGTGCTTTGTTGATGTTCGTTTTTTATTTTAAAGTTAACTTTTGATGATTTTATTGTTTGGTTTTTTTGCTTTCATGTGGCTGTAAACTGCTGTGATATAGCTTTATGATACAGAGGTATATAAACACTTTTAAATAGATAAACCATCTCAGTAATTCTTGACACAGCCCTGTAAGGTAGGCCAGCATTACTGCAGATGGGGGGCTGAGATTATGTTGGGATTCACCTAAGACCACCCTTGTGGCTTAAATGAGATCCAAACTGTAGCTCAGAGCCCATTCTTCTAAACCAGGGGTGGGGGAACCTCCCTCTAGATATTGCCGTTGGCCAAGTTGGCTGGAGCTGGTGGGAGTTTGAGCCCAACAATGTCTGTAGGGACACACAGCTTCCCCTCCCCCTGCCCTAACCATTGTGCCCTAACCATTAGAATGCCTACACATTAAGTAAAATGTGGGCATTTAAAACCAAGCGGAATAACTAAACATGCATTTTCCTCTTTGTCGAGAAATAATAGATGTGGAAAACTTTATATCATAATTTATTTAAAAGTCCATTTATATTTTCCAGGAGACTCATGAGAAGGACCTGGCAAAAATCTAACAGGTTGCTTGCAGCTCTTTCCTGGGAAAACTGGATGGGTACCCCCCCCCCATTCTGTCTCCATGTTTTTCATCTGCATGCTTCCATGGAGGAAGAATGTCATGTTGGAGTGATCTAAAAGTAGTTACCGTTCAACGGTTTCCCTGATATTCCACCGATAGACTAATTAAATGACAATCAACTGCATTTCTAATAGGATACTAAAAGACAAAGGTAGTAAAGGGGTGAGGGGAATGTTAATCAGTGTGAATTAATAACCAGATAAATAATATTTCCTCCAGCTTTCCAGTAAGATAACCACAGCCACCTTTGTCATAATTTGGATATTAGAAGACCGAGGGGACTGTGAAGAGTTAAATACAGCTGCCTTGTTACCACAGAGCTTTGCCCTGCAAGAAAGGCCACCTAACAGGCCCCACAGAACTTGGTCATGTTCCATACAGTTGCTCCATATCCATATGAAGTTAGGCATGTCCACCAGAATAGAATAGAATAGAATAGAATAGAATAGAACAGAACAGAACAGAATAGAATAATTGATTCCTATAGGTGTGAAAGGAATGAAGCAGATTCTCATGAACAACTGGTATTGGAGGCACATTATAACAAGAGCCAGGGGTCAGGTCAGATTGAGTCTGGATAGCTCAGCTGGTTAAAGTGTGGTGCTGATAATGCCAAGGTTGCAGGTTTGATCCCCGTATGAGACAGCTGCATATTCCTGCATTGCAGAGGGTTGGATGAGATGATCCTCAGGGACCCTTCCAACAATTCTATGCGCTGCTGAGCCCTGGAGTTTCATATCCAGACAGGTCAAGCAATGGCCCTCACAGATGCAGAAGTGGGTTTGTAGAGGATGGGAACATGGCCTGCTGAAGGCAATGATAGCCCACCTTCCTCACTCCTTGGGGTGTCCTATCCAGACCCCGTAAACTGGTGGTGCTGGTGGGAACAGTGTGGGGGCACCCTTCCTCATCCTTGTTGTCAGGATGCTGGCTGATAACACTGGGCAGGGGAACAGGCCATGAACCGCAAGATCAGGACTAATAAACAGGTAGGGCTGCTTACCTGTCACTGTAAGCTGCTGCTGCCGCTGCCGGCTGGGCATATCTGTAGGCTGCGTAACCCCCCTGGAGCAAAGAGGAGAGACAAAAAGTTACTGCGAAGGCTGCGGTGCCTGTGCCGGCAACCAGGAAAAGAGGCATCTTGTGCCATGAGGCTGGTTCTCAGCAAAGAAGCTGGGCACCCCAGGTGCTAACCAAGCTCAGGAGGGACGCATGCAGCCACCCCACCAGACTAGCCCAACACCAGTCTCATTAGCATTCCCCGGGGATCTCACTAACATTAACCTGCAGAAATTAAACATGCTGAGGAGAGAATGTCACCTCCCTGGCGGGTGGCGGTGTTAACGAGATGTCGCCTCTGATAAATCCGTCAGTGTGCGCCTGAAATATTGCCCAGAGCACTTTAAATATGGAGGGGGAAATGCCGCTAGAAGACAGCATGCTGACACTGGACCAGCAAATAAATCCTGCCCTGGGGGGCGGGGAGCAGCTGTAGAAGGCACAGGGCCACTGGCAGGTCGAACCTGCGTGCGAGCCTGAGCGCCACCCCTGTCCCAACATGCTCTGCTGTTTTGCAGTGGTCCTCCCGCAGCATGTATGCGGGGAAGCTTATTTCAAGCTGTTTCCTTCACTGCCTTGCTGCTATGGGGGACTCTGCAATGGCGGGGTGGGGAGAGTCAATGGTACACACACCTCATAAGCAGCAACTCAGGAGCGATGAAAAGGGATAGAGTGGATGGAGGGTGCACAGTTGCTGCCTTACCTCCTCTGCTCCCCAATGCCCCGAGACCAAGCAGAATATCCTTTGCGCTTGCGTTGCATTTGCAAGCACTGGCTCTGCAAATCCCCTGCCCGGTCGTCTCTCTTAACCAAGTGAGCAGGTGGGATTTGTCAAGACATGAAATATCCTTCCCAGAAGGTCATGTGCCTATTTACCAGCGTGTGAGTTTGTGGGGGTGGGAGAGGAGTAGCATAGCACGAGAACCAGCCGGTGGGCTACTGCAGCTTGGACTGGAAAGTCAACAAACAAGAATCTCTCTCTCTCTCTCTCTCTCTCTCTCTCTCTCTCTCTCCCCCCCTGTAAGAGCAAATTGAGAAAGGCTGGACTTACATAAATTTCAGCACCGTAGAATCCGTCCTGGTAAACCACTCTGCAGAGGAAAGAAGCAAAATGCAACGGTGACTTATGGCTGCGTGCGAGGCACTTTGAAGTCCATTCCGTGCGACTGCACATTTGTTTCAAAGGGTAACCCTGGCTCTGGCATCAAACGGACCTTGTGACTCTGGTTTTCAGTGCTGCTAATGGCCTCTCTCTGCCTCGACGGCGGGGGAGATGCAAATGTGCTAGTCATCAAGCTGGATGGGGGCGATCTGCCTGACAGGCAAGTGGGATGACCAAGAAGGAGCAGATGCTCCTTCGGGGAATCTGGCCGCAGCCACTCAGATATGCTCCATGCTTAAGCATGCACATGGATGCTATGATTACTCATGTATAGATACTAAATTAAGCCAGTTTCTAATTCCTCTGTCAGTAGGGAATAGAAAGAGTCTGTAAAGGATGCAGCTTCTGTGCCTACTATGGCCAACTGTCCCATTCTGCATGGCCTCTAGTCATCGTCTACCTCCACCTTTGCAGGCAGCAATGCTTCTGAATAGCAGTTCCCAGAAACCGCTTGCAGGCTTCCTCCAGGCATCTGGTTGGCCGGGGTGAGAAAAGGATGCTGGACTAGATGGGCTCTTCTGATGTTCCCATCTTTCCTTGCCCAGCTGTCCCTCATGCTTCCCTTGCTGCCAAATAAATCAATAAGTAAAATCTACACTGCGCAAATCAGTTTCATACTAGAGCATACAAATAAATATTTTGCGCAAAGCATATCTGCATGAATGCAACTGGCTTGCATAATTTATGATGGGCAGAGGAGTTGAGGGTTCTTACTGGGGGGGGGGACAGGCGGGGAGGAAGTGCACAACTACACAGTGTGCTTTCCCAGCTGTGCAATGATTGTGATATGTGAAGTGCCACATGAGTGTCTTCTATGCGGCAAGTACATGGGTTTGACAGTCACACCCACTGGCCTCCTTTAGCACTATTATCTGCATAGTCACAGTATTCAAACCAAACCAAACCAAACCAAACCAAACCAAACCAAACCAAACCAAACCAAACCAAACCAAACCAAACCAAACCCTCACTTTATATATAACTGTCAGTTTCTATTTCACTACACAGAAGAGATTGTACAGGAAACAACCAGTTTGCACGTTACTAAGGCATGTGCCACTTTGGGCCCTGGAAGGGGGCAGAATGGGCTGAAGCATGCATTGACCTGCAACGCAACCCCTGCACCAGTGAGAAGTTGCCTGTATTCCTCCACTTCGCAAAATAAAAAAAATGCGAAGAGGCAAACAGGGACAAATCTTCTGAAAGCGCCAAGACAAAATGGCCACTGAATACCTTCTGTCTGCCTCCTGAGTGTGCTAGTCACAGTGTTACTTCTATGGCCAGCTATCCTAATCAAACAGGCACACCTAACGCAGACGCCTTTCTCTAGGTGAAAAGGGCAGCCAGCCAGGTGCAGATCTGCCCCAAACGTGGCTGGAGATGTAGTCAGGGCAGGGTGACTAGGAAGTGTTTCCTCTGAGGCTTGCTCGTCGGGAATGTGGGGGCAGACCAATCGCCTGTTGTCTCTGTCCAAAGAGCCCAAAGGCTCCCCCCGCCCACCTTTCGAAGGCCCGTCTCTGCAGCAAATACTCACGCTCCGTAAGCGGGGATGGGCGGAGGTGGGGGAGCTGCCCGGAACGTGTTGTAGACCGTGCGCCCCCGCCCCCGTAAGTGCGCCCCCCGGTACGCTACCGCTGTTCCTGTGGCTGGGTATGGAAAGCCTGTCACTGTGGGAGAGAAAAGGAAACCGCCATGAGCACCCCCAGAAGAGTCCTCTCCTGGTGCCAGACATGGCCTGCCCACCTCTGTGTGGCAGAGGAGAGATCCCCCAGAGAGGAAGCGAGGAGCTTGCCCCTCTTCAGGTGTCCTGAGAAATATCCTCATGATATTTCATCCCACCCTCTATTCTCTATTATATACACATCCTCTGGGAATCTTTCTGCACCCAAAACTCCCCTCCTGCTCCACTCTCTTGAGAAGAGCTCCATAGTATGACTCCTCCTCTGGCCTGTTTCACTGAGGTCCTAAGGACAGCCCCCTGCCCCCAGCTCCTTCTTCTTGTTTTGTCATAGGCACCTATGTCAGGAACAAGCAAGCAAGGAATAGGTTGTTCTGCTCCGAGGCTTAGCAGCTTTGCCAGCTTATTTAAGGGGCAGCTCTTGCCCAGGGACCTGGTCTGATCCAGACATTACCTGCATAGAACTCTGGGCCATAGACGGTGCCCACCACAGGGTTCAGTTTCCAACCTGGGGAGGAAGAACAAGGAGACGTGAGAGCATCACCCTGGCCCATACCTGTCCTGTGCTCTCACTGCCAGCCCCACCTGCCAGAGACCTAGGTGAAAGGCCTAAGGAGCTCTGGGTCAAGCTTTCTAGCAAACAAGAGCCAGTTTTGTCATCTGTACACCAGGATGTACTACAAAGTCAGGCTCCACGCCTGCCCACGCCCTGACACAGCCCCCCCCCAAGCATATTTTTTTTTAAAAGGCCTGCCAGTCTTCCAGCAATGACCAGCTCTGGCCTAGCACACCCTCTTGCCACAGCTTCACTCCATTACCATTTGTGTAGGGATTGGCTGCCTTCTTGTTTGTCATTACCCGGGCCGTGGCGTTGTTGACCTGGCGACACAAAGCACAGAGAAAGTGAGTTAGTGGCAGGCCTTGGACCAAAATATCCTCCTCCCAGGAGGAAACCTGGGACTGGAGACGCAAGGAACGTTTCAGGACGGACAAAAGCCAATCAGGATTTGGACCAGATTCTCCAAAGAGTATGGGCTGGAAACCCTGTCTGCATATGCCAGGTCTGGCAATACCCCGATTTCCTTATCTTAGGTGTACAGCCCTTTGGAGCACACAGGCTTCAGACATTTTGAGTGGGAAGTTGAATTTTGGAGCTTTCAAAGGAAACGTTCCTGAACCTCTCCATTCCCAGCATAATGTTCAACACCTAGCATGCAGGGAGGACCCTGCCCAGGCTTCATGCACAGTGGGAGATCCATTCACCAGACAGGCTTGTGAAGATGCAAAGGAACACACAGGGGCAGGAGCTCCAGAAAACGATGGTGTCAGCATCAGATCAACACTGCCTGTCCGCCCTTGACCACAGCCCTGGCGAACTCAAGCAACATTATTCTGCAAGAAGCATCTTATATGGCACAACACTTTGTGCCTCAGTGTGATCAAGAAGGGTCCACCAGGGCGAAACCAAAGGCCTTGCTCCATCTCACCTCCTAACTCACTGACACTGAGGCTGCCCATCCTGTAACATTTTGAAGAAAACAAACCAGAACCACAACCAAGAAGGAAGCCAGGCAGCAATACGACTACCCTTTAGGGCCTAGGCATCGCAAGTGGTTCAATCTGGCTGGCGCCTGGGAGGTTGGAGGATTTGGCAGTATCACGCTTGCCCTCCCTCCCTCCAGCTTTTCCCTGGCAGATCCCAGCAGACTCCTGCTGGAGAAGGTCTGCCCTCCTCTTCTTCTTTTGCTCTGTGCCCCACCCCTCCCCACCACCTACGGGAGATCAACAGCACAGGGCATGCAACATCCACTCGCCCGCCTGCGTGTCCTGGGAGGCCCAAGAGGTAGAAATGGTTAGAAAAGAAAGGGGTGTCTGTGTGTGTGTGTGCATGTGGGGAGCAAGTGTGACTCCTAACGCCCCGACGCAGAGCAGGCAGTGCACATGTTCGCACCTCGATCTTGCGTCCCTCTACGATGGTGCCATTCAGCTTCTCCCGTGCCCGATCGGCATCTGCACTAGTTTCAAAAGTTACAAACCCAAAACCCTGTGAGTGGGGGAGAGAAAGGGAAATGGAGAGAGAAAGAGAAAGAGGGGGATTTGGGAGGGAGGGAGAGAGGGTGGAAGAGGAGTAGGAGGAAGAGAATGAGAAGGGGGGAAACGGGGGTGGGTGGGACAGGACAGAGAGAGGGGGGTGAGTAAGGAGCAGTAGAGAGAAGAATCCCCCAGGGCCTGGGGAAAGAGGCAGGATGTGAACTTCCCAAGCGACCCCCAAGGGCTGGGGGGGGGGGGGAGGGACGAAGCAAGGAGAAGGGGAGGGGGTAAGGCTCAAGAGGAATAAGGACAGGCGCCAGCTTCCCAAGAGGCCAAAATTGCAGGGCAAGACGTGGCAGAGTACATTGCCGCTGCCTCATGGGAAGAGTGAGGTGTTCTGGACTGAGCTACTGGTACTTGCAATGGATTCCACCTGGAGAGGCATTACATTCCTGGAGATACATTACAGTATATTCATTCACTTTCTGAATGTCTGATGGAAACTGTGGGAAGTCCTCATTCTTTGACCAGGACCAAAGGCCAAACCAGACAGTGACATGGGAAATCTGGGACTGGGGGGATTTCCTAACACCTTTTCCAAAGTTTAAATGCAGCTTGGGGTGTGGATAAAAGATGTGGTGGTGGTTGGGAGGGGTTTAACCCTTTCCCCATCACTGCAATTTCCCATTTGGAATACCCCTCCCCAAACATTGCCATTAGCCCTTTTGGGAGATGGGGAAAACACAGGCACCTGGGCTATACCTGCCCACCCCTACCCCCCTTTCCAAAAAACCTAATATAAGTTTTGTGGCAGGGTGGGGTGTGGGGTGGGGATTTGAATCAGGAAGACATTGTAGGGAGAAAGGAATACTAGTTGTTGGGAATCACAGGTGGGGGCAGTGCTGTTGCACTCAGGTTCTGCTTGCGGGCTTCCCTTGGACATCTGGATAGCCACTGTGAGAGCAAAATGCTGGACAATATGGGCTTCTGGCCTGATGTGTAACCTTATGGGTTAAACATCCCCTTTTCCCAGTGCCATGCTCCTGATCCAATTCCCCACCCACACCATGACATACACACAAGGAGAAATTAAGCTATGAAAAAGACGTGGGGAGATCTGGTCATCCATCTCCCATGTCACAGTCTGGTTTGACCCCAAAAGCCAATATTGAACCTGAAGAAACGGGCCTAGGAAAACTCAGTAAATGTGTTATTTAACAGCTGGGAGAAATTTCAAATCCTGTCAAACTAAACACCCCCATATCCTCCTGGAAACAAAATGCAAACTATTTTAATAAGTATTTTGGCATCTATTTCTGAAAAAGACCCATGCTCAACTCTATCTCCTGCAAAACCTTTGCAACAATTTGCCTTATGTAAAACATTTCCCCCCTCTTTTAATTTGAGTGATTTCCAGTTTCACCATGAGAGGGTGTTCTTTTCCTGCAATTAAATTGCCTTAGCTATAAGGTTTGCAGCTCCTAGTTTTATCATCTTTCCAAGCTTACTCTCTCTGTAGCTTGCTTCAGAGTTAGAATCTGAAGAATGCACAAACCTGATATTGTGGAGTATCTTCATTCAGCATGTTCACTTTTAGGGTGAAAGTTAAAACAACAAACTTTGATTCTAAGTCAATGGCTGTAGGGTTTTAGGGGGCAGGTGGGAGAGAGGGGTGATTAGAAACTAGGTAGGCAACATGAGGCACAGAGAGGAAACTGGAAGGGGCAAGAGGGCAGTCTGGACCCTGGGAAGTCTGGACCTACACTGATGTTTGGGTTGCACCAGACATCAACATGCTGAACCCACCTTGGAGCCGCGCTCATTGAAAATGATCTCAACATCCAGGATCTTTCCAAATTGCTGCAGAGCAAAACAAAAACAAAAGTAAAAATGGGATGGAAGGTAAAAATAGGAGTAATCATTCCCTGTCCACTCCATCTTAGCATGTCTGCTTTCATTTATTTATTTATTAAATTTAAATACCACCCTTCGCCTGAAGACCACAGGGCAGTTTACAGTACAAAACCACAAAAATACGTCATGTAATAACAAACCAATAAAAAACATCCCTGTGACTTTTTAAAAGGCCATAGATAATTTAATTAGTCCAAGGCCTGGGAGAACAGAAATCTTTCATACAGTGGGGGTGGAGGCGGTCCTTGAGGTATTGCGTCCTGAGCCTTTTAAGCTGTCCATTTACTCCAAAAGGGCCACTGTGTCCTGGTAACCTCTGGAATCTGGGGAGTAAAGTACCACAAAATACCCACTTCTGTCATAGGCCGTTGAGAGCCTGCTCCATCCCTGGGAGCTTGATAGCAACATGGCAGACACTTCAGGATTGAAGGACCAGTCAGTCTCATGTGCTGCCAGGCTGAGAGAGGCTGAGTTCTACCTATGCATAGGCTGAGAAGACAGGTCAGTCCTGCTTGGGGCTGGGGTGGTGTCACAAGTTTCATGGGAGAGATTAGAAGGGAGCTCCTGCCATGGTATGACTTTGCTAGGAGCAGCTCTGCACTCTCACCACAAGGGCTGTTATGAGACCTCACAACAGCTGTTCATGGAGAAGATGTGTGCAGGATGCTGAGGGCACACAGCTTGAGAAACATAGGGAACTATCTTATACCAAGTCGGACCACTGGTTTATCAAACTCAGTATTGTCTACTCTGACTGGCAGCGGCTGTGCAGGATTTCAGACAGGGGTCTCTCTTAGCCCCACCCAGAGCTGGAACAAGGTGTTTTGCTGTCAGAGGAGAAGGGCACGGGAGATCAGCCAGTTGTACTGGCAATTGAATCCACCACGGGTGACATGAAAGCCTCCTACACAACTGAGATAGCAAGCCTGCTTGTTGGGAAGGGAGGGGCATAGAAATGGTCCTGATGCAACAGAGTGGAATAACTGGGGGCTCCAGGGAGTGCTGTTGCTGTTCCCCAGCATCTGCCACCTGAGACCGTTGCCACACTCTGTCTAATGGTAGAGATGGCAGTGGCCCTATCCAGGTATATCAGGGATTGAACCTGGAACTTTTTGCATACAAAAAATATGCTCTGTCCTTTCCTTTGGGATCAAATGTTATTTGATCCCACCAATTAAGGATGTTGGAAAATTCCAATGGAATAGGAAGTGGAAATTGCTGCAGTTTGCATGCTTGTCTGTGGTCAGCAACAGAGATCAGTCAAGCAAATAGTCAAGCTTTCACAGTGTCATTGGTTTTCTTAAGTCCGCAGACTTACAAAATGTAGCTGATTTTTTTTATTGCTTCTGACATAACCTTTATGTTGAAACAAATGTAGGTAACTTACATAATTTATGCTAAAAAGCGGACAGCAAGGTGAATAACGTATTTGGCAGGAACCAAACTGCAGTGGAACAGAAACAGTGATGCCCGCGACAGGGCAGAATGGAAATGGCAGCACTGGCTCTGCCTGTAGCAGGTACTCAGAGCTCTCTGGGGACACTTGTCAGTGTGCTTAGCAAAAGAGGTTGCGGGCAGTGAGAGGAATGGACTCACCCCAAACATTTGCCGCAGGTCAGGGTCCCGGAAGCGGAAAGGGATGTTGGAAACGTGTAACCGTTTGGGCTGCTGCTTGTCAGAACCACACTCTGGTGGGTGTAGCGTCTGGTTGTCTGTCTGTGCCGCTTCATCTGTGTGCTGGGGGTGAAGGGGAAAATTAAAGAGAGATTCCACTGTGATCTCACCACTGTTTTGTGCTTGCTTAAGACCATCACTGCCCCTTGCGAAAGCTGGCTGCAGATATATGGGCTGCCTGCAAGAGTGCTAAGTGTTGGGAGTTAGGCTTTGCACGTGGCCATTGGGTTTTGAGTACGTGGTGATATGAACTCATGGTGATGGATGGGGAGAGGGTGCAGCTGCAAACCTTTAACAGCATACACAGATCAGTGGCATATGCAGATAGTTAAGACTGTGAGCTGCTCAGACCTCACCATTCACAAATTTCCTATCTGGCTTCAGGCCTTAACCTCCCCAACTGCAGAATGGGAATAATGACACTGGCCTACCTTAGAGGGTGTTCTTAGGGATTCTGATCGTTATTACGTTTGTGTTCATGAGACAGCAGGATAAAGATTGGTGCCGCCACAACGGTGGGCAGGGACAAACAAAGCGGTCCTGGCTTGACCTCTGGGCTTGCATGTGGGTCTGCATGTGTGCAGCCATGTGGGGAGACAGAGCTCACTCTCCCCGCTGCGCGGTGGCAAGCAGCCAGCCTGGCACTCAGGGATGGAGGAGCGGCTGGGAACTGCTCACTCAGCGCTTCCTCACTGAGCTGCATTACAACCACATCATTGGCACGATGGGATTGGCAAGCAGCCAAGCAGGTAGATTACAAGTGATTAGGGACACAAGGGGAGCCAGGAAACTTAAGCACTGAGCCACAAATGCCCACGGGGCAGCTGGGGCACTGGCATTGCCTCTGTGAACTTGCCTCCTGCTGCACAAGCCCTCGGCTCTATTTCAGGCCCAATTCGCCATCCCTTGTTGTCTCTTATCCCAGATAAGCCAGGAGAAGGGTGAGGGGTTTTGATCTGCTGCTTCAGCCCACCTGCTTGCCTATAATGCTGCCCCTCAGTCTCGAACCAGGACGTTCTGCCTCCCTCCATTTTTTGAGCTGAGACCTCTCCTTGGGCTTTCCAGCTGAGTTTGCGCATGGACTGCAGAGCAACCTGGCTTCATACCTGCATCCTTGCAGATAGAATCACCCTCCTCCTCCCCTACCTGACTGCAGGCTTCCTTGAGCTGGCCTGAAAACCCACTCTGCAGGCCCTCTTCGGGCCAGGGCTGGTCCCCTTTCACAGGTTCTCTTTCAAGCACAGAGTGTCTTACCGGTACTGTTTGTGTGCCCGCTATGGATTGCGTGCTGGCGTCGGTGCCCGGCTGTTCGGTGTGGCTCTGTGCTGGCGTGTAGAGAGTCAAGGCATGCTCAGGTACTGTGCTCTGCCCCGAGTAGTCCTGTGCTGGGTGTGGGTGTGGTGGAGGAGCGTATTCTGCAGGGATGCCATTCTGCGGGGGTGGTGGGTACGTTGCTGGGGGGTAGGGCTGGGCCATTGCGTCAGGCGGAGCCGTGGCGTCCTGGTTGCCCTGCAGAGACATAATAACGAGAGAAACGTGTTGACTCATCGCCTGGAGCTTCATGAGGGGCCAGGAGCGTTTTCTATGGTCAGGTCCATGGTCCCCTCTTCCCCTCCCAAATGGCTGATACAAGTCCATCCAATGACTCATCGGAGTTGCAGCAATCTTCCCCTCAGTGCAAGGCTGTAATTGAAGGTGTCTCCTACATGCCACAGTCAGTGATGTGTTGAACCAATAAATAAATAAATCTAAATTCTGCATCATGAAGACAAAGGGGGCGGGGGGGGGGGCGGGGAAGGGAGTGATGCAAATTGTTAACATCTGCAGGTGTGCACAAATGTATCCTTGCTTTCAGTTAATTTAATTGAAAGTTTTTGACACTGGGAGAATTAAAAGGAGAAATGTGCATGACAAATGAAGGCAGGTCAGGTATTTTATAACCTTCTTGTCAAATGACCCATTTTGTATGCCTCTTTATTTTAATGTAGTCTCCTTTGATTTTGTTGCTATGTTCATAGTATAATTGTACCACAGAATCATAGAATTGTGGAGTTGGAAGGGACCACTAGTTCAACCTTTTACAGTGCAGGAATCTTTTTGCCAAAATTGGGACTTGAACCCACAACCTTGAGATTAAGTGTCTCATGCTCTATTAACTGAGCTCTTTGCTTTTAGTTGAGGTTCAGTACACTGCATCAATATATTTTCTTTTGAGTTTATGGAATAGAAATGAGACAACAACAACAAGGGTTGGGAAGCAAAGTTAAAAAGTAGTAAACTACAAATAGCTACTCGCTAATCCAGGGTGGGAAATCTATGACTCCCATCATCCCTAATCTCTGGCCATGATGGCTGCAGCTGATGGGGGCCAATCTTCAGAGGGCCACAGGTACCTCACCCTTGTCCTAATCCTTATAATGCCTGCCAAGCTACTCCCTGACACTGAGAAGGTTTTCTCTCTCTCTATGGTTTACTTTCTAAGCTTAGGCTAGAAACCTCCAAATTTCTAAAAACAATAGCTGATCGAAACTAGATTCCAGGTTTTCTTCTGGCTATGCTGCAAACACAAGACATGGATACCTGGCCATGGAGTACCACTAGTTTTTGTCCACATGCTTCCTTCTGGCATTTCAGTTTCCCAGAATATATAAATATTTATATGTGTGGGTGTGTAGATAGATAGACAGACAGACAGACATACAGATAGATGCACATATGTATATGGGTAATTGTGTAATACACACATATATTTAGATAATTGTGAAAAACAATATTTGCTTCTCTGTATTAACAACTCTCTTGGCCAAAGTGCAGTCATCTTTTGACACATTAAGCTGCAAAGTTCAAAGGTTATGCTTCAAAACTGAGGCTCTCAAGTGCATCCATGTGTACACATAACCATTGGACCATGATGCCAGCTAGTTCCGTAGGTGTTCTGGCAGGCAGAATGGTACAGGAAAATGTGTACATTTCAGCTGTCTCCCCTCTCCAAGCTTCCAGCAGGAATCAAAACAACAAGCCAGATTTCAAAATCGCTAGATTTGTGATGTCACTATTGTGGGATGTTAGCATCCAGAATGCACAGGTAAAGGGTTAATTGAAAGAGCTGTAGAACTCTATGACCTTCATACACTCTGTGGCAGTTATGGCAGTTGGTACAGTTATGGCAGTTGGTTGAACCATCTGAACAGTTAGAGCAGCAGTTATGTTGTGTTGTACTGCTGTCTGCCTCAGAGTATGTCAGCCTGTAAATGTTAGTCAGTCTTAGATAAAAATCTACCTAAGATGTTTCAGCAACTTAAGTATCATCTACCTGCATTGTATATATTTAGCCAGCAATGACAAGTACACTAAGTAAAAGTTATTTGTTCTTTAAACTTTAAAAGAGAGTGCCTTGTGTAGTTTTTATAGGGGAGGGGAGAGAATGAAAGGGTCAAACGACCCAGGGCTGCCTTCTGATTACCCCACAAATGGGAACACAAGTCTACCGTAATTCCCACAACTATCACACCTGAAATGGACCTGAAAACCACACCTGAAAAGGATGTGGGTTTTTTCCCCCAAGACAGTGTACAAGCAACAAGTGAAGCATACCTGCTTGGATCAGTTTGCCAGATACTGAGTCAAAAGTGGGGGGGGGGGACGTCTTACAAATGGACAGGCAACTACCTACAGTTGCTTCCATGCCAGAGCCCTTTAGCACTGCTGAGGCATTGCTTTTCTGTAATTCATTGGAAGTAGAATTAAAACAGAGGTTCCACACAGCACTTAACACAGCATTATATTATAAGCAATGCCCTTCTTCATGGTCTATCCCCCCACCTCCATAATATTTACAATGTTACTAAGTCCTGCACATGGCTGAGGGGTTAATGATGAAGAGCCTCCCTTAATTTCTCCAGCGTCTGCTACTATACTGAGAAATATGCTGGTGTAACTGTCTCCTACATCAAGGGTGCAGAACCCCAGGACTGGGGAACAAATGAGGGCTTCCAGGGCTCTAGCCAGCCCTCAGGACTCTACCTAGGCCCCTACCCACCCCCCAGGTCACATAACTCACCAGCCCTGCTCCTTTCTCAAGTGCTTTTGCCTGGCTGGAAGATTATCCATAAGGATGTGCAACCCTCAACGGAAAGCAGCCTCCAACAATGCCTTAGATCCATAGCAGGAAATCTGACATGGCAGGTGGAAAGGAATGGCCAACACAGGATGGTTAAAGCTTGTAGAGATGTCCCCTACATACTTCCACTTGACCTCTCTCAGGGATAGAGAAGAAAGGATAAGTAAAACTGTCCATCATTTGGAGCATAGGTGGTCCCCCACCCAAACATACCGGGTTCTGGTTGGCACAGGTACACACATGGCCACAATATCACTTCACTGATTTCAGAGTTGCAAGCTATGGCAGCAGTAGGGACCAGTCAGGGACTGGTTGGATGCAGAAGAATGATGGGAGGAACCAGCTGGGGAATCCCCAAGGAAAGAAGGCTCAGGACCTGGGTATTTGTAGTGGGACAACAATGAGTGATCAGAAGGAAAAAAGGGAGAAGACTGGGAAGAGGTGGTGTTGGGAGCTGAAGAGGTAACAGTGCTTAGTGAGCAGGGAGAGTCTGTGGCAGAGAGAAGCCCAGAATCAGAAGCTGAAGAGGAGGAGGGAGGCAGAGATGGGTTAGGCTTGTGAAGAGGCATGAGTGTCTCTCTCTCTCCTGCTATGACAACATACCCTCCTCCTTAGTCTCCCAGAACCAGGAGAGGCCAAGCACATAGGCATAGTCTCTGATTGCTTGGAAGAAACCCTGGAGAGGAGGGGACTTAGGTGACTGTGGGGAGGCGGGAACCTTTAGTCTTGGCAACTGCTTCAAGGAGCAAGACCTGATGGAGATGAGTTGCTGTGCTCATTAGGCCTGACACTCCTGTGTAGATCTTGTTTTGCTAATAAAGCGTTAACTCGCTTGGTGTAATTTACTGCTGCTCGCTCTTGTCAGGATCCTCTGGCTCCTCCTGGACCTGGTTAACATGGCAGGCCTCCCTATTTGGCTCACAAGGCCATATCAACCAAGCCTCTCCCATCTGCCTGACAACATATGGCACTGGGGTGGTGGTGGTGGGCAGGTAAAGATGCAGCTGAGCCCAAAGACAGTTTGCAGGCATTGCCTGTCAGGTGATGGGCAGCACCTGCAAAGCACTGTGCACACCATTTTGCAACACCCAATGATGAGCTGATCATCAACACTTTGCAGTCTGCTCCTTTGTCTGCATAATTTGATTTCATTGTGACATCTGGTGACTGACAGGTGGGCGGCTCTGCCCATCTATCAAACATGGCCCGCCAGACAGATCCAGCTGCCCACAGCTGCTATTCATGTGGAAGCAGCATGAAACACCTTCTGCCTTGTAGCTGTGCCACATGGCAGCCACAAAGTGTCCACCAGCTTGCTACTGGATCTCTCACACTGCGTGGAATGTCAGCTTCCATGCCACATGAGCCATTAGGTGATCCTAAAAAATGTCTGGAGAATGGTGTGATTACATTGTCAATGCTAAAGGAGCAACCCACACAATGAAGTGGTCTACGCAATTGCCATGTTCAGCAGCTACTAATGCTACCATACACACAAACAAACACTCCTCCTAGACACAATCGTGCACAGAATTCTTGCCCTCTTCTCTCCCTTGCTCAAAAACACACTGTTTCACACCTCACTGCTCTCTTCTCCCCCACCTCCCATCCGACACCACGTCCCCTGCCTTGTGCTGACAAACAGCCACAAGCCCCTCTGCTAGGAGCCCAAGTTCTGCTCTCAGATGCTTTATAGCCCTCACACAGCAGTGCCTCTCTCTCTCTCTCTCTCTCTCTCTCTCTCTCTCTCTCTCTCGCTCTCTCCGTTTCTCTCTCCCGGGATGAAATACATCTGCAGCTCCTGGAGCCGAGACAGGCTCTTTAATTGTGTGTGTGGTTAATTTATGACAAGGCAAGATCACAGTGGGACAGGCTTGGACAGGCAAGCTTTCCTTGCTTGAACAGAGAAACCTTTCCACCCCATGCCCTGTCTCAAGGCTGCCCTGTTCCTAACCACATCAAAGGATGCTGCAAGGCCCTCTTCACCTGGGACATGGTGGCTGGCTCAAAAAGCACACAGGGAACAACCATTTTTGAATCAGCAAATTACTCAAGGGTTACTCTGCTTCTTCCTGTACCAAGTCAGCACTCAATCATCCTGGGGGAATGGGGAGAAAGGGAGACATGCATCTGTTTTACTGGTACTACAGCATCTTAGGACGTATCATGCCAAACACGTTGTTTACTGGAGAGGAAACAGGCAATCAGGCTCAAGCTGTTACAGAAAGTAGAGTGATCAGACCCAGGGATCTCAGGATCCTGAGTTAGGAGTCTCTGTTGGGGCAAAAATAGGTTATAGAAATTTTCTTCAAAATGTGTGTATGTGCGTGGAAGTCCTTGTCATGGTCTGGGATTCTGACCCACCTCAGAGTCAAATGAGAACTCTGACCTGGATGATTAGGCCCCGAAAGTGCTCCATTAGGCACTTTCCAACAGAAGCTTCTGCAGAGGAGGAACCCTAACAGATAGGCCTCCATCCCCTGGTTCCAAAGAAGGCAGCTCTGCCCCTTCTTCAGATGACTCCCCACACCTGAACTACCAGCAGTTCACAATGACTCTTCTTTTCAACTTCTGGGACCAGAAGAGATTCTCCAACCAAACAGGAGTGCACAACTGTATGACAGGACACAATCTCTTTAACTCCAAGCAGATTCCATCCAAGGAGGCAGGGCTTCACACAGGCCTTACCCTCAGTTACTGGCCAGTGCTAGAGCAACACTCCCATCTTCACAATGAGTCCAAGATTCATCCTCATTAGGAAGCTCTACTGGAAGCTCTCCATGGTTCTGATTCTTAGCATTTCTAACACATCTCACCACACCTGACAATAGACTCTGGCTGAAGACAGGATACTAAATTATGCTTAAGAAACCTACCCTGCCAAATGTGGCACCCTCTAGTTGAGGAGGTTAAGTTTTGCATGCACTCGCTTGCCCTAACTTGGCAACAGAAATTATGCATCTTGGGCTAATTTACATAGCATGCTTGATTTGTGCATGTAATACACTTTGCATAGATGCATAAGCAGAAGGAATACTTAAGATGTTTCTTTAAAAAAGCTCAGCTGGAAAAGTACTGAGTGATAGTAATGGTTATGAAGCTATGATCATGTTTGTGCTACAATCCAATTTCTGGTGTGTAAATGGCATTGCCATTGTGACTGTGGGAAATGGAGTCCTATGACTGCACCAAGTGCTTTGTTTCCCAGAGGCAGTAGTTGGGCACCTCTGCCATTTACCTCTCCTAGATTGCTGGAATCCTTATCCAGACTTAGTCTCATCCTATGCCATCAGCAAAAACGATTCCTACCCAGCAAAAACACAGTAGATGTCACATTGTTTTTTTATCTGCAGTCATTGGGTTAGAAAGCAGTGCTTTAAAAAGTAAAAGAATGCTGAGATATCTAGATTCCCCTATGAAGATTTTCAAAATCTTGTATATATTAGGTTTTTATCTAGCCACTTCTACAGGGAGATAAGAAGATCCCAGATGGATCAGGGCAAAGGTCTGTCCAGTCCAGCATAACAGTGGCCAACCAGATGTTGATTAGTAACACACAACTGGGACCTGAGTACAGCAATACTCTCTGCTGCTGTGGTTTCCAGCAACTGGAATTCAAATGCACACTCTAAGAGTGGAGGTAGAACGTCCCCATCATGGCTAGTAGCCATTTATAGCCTTGCCCTTCATAAACATGTCTCTTTTTTCCCCAAGCCATTCAAGTTAGTGGTCATCACTACATGTTTTGGGAACAAACTCCAGAATTTAAAACCCAAGGGACCTGGGAAGAACAACACCAACAAGATCATGAGACCCACAGAGCAGTTACTGAAAACATTGGGACAGCTGGGTCTCCAGTACAATATGTTGACAGCCAGAAGTCTGCAATTCTTCTGCTTAGCGTATGTGTGGGGTTTTGTGTCAGTGTCACTTGGCTAACCAAGCTCTTACATAGTCCTTCAGCCTGCATTGCCCTTCCAGATTCTACTGGAGAATGGAGATCCTTAGAAGCAGCAGCCCTCAGGACTTAAGCCTGCCACTCAGTCCCTGTTAACTCTCATTGGACCTGTTGCCTGAAATTGTGCACAGACTCGGTGGCATCTGAGGTCTTTGGGGTGTGTGTGTGAAGATGCTGGTCCCTTTGTGAGCTCCAGCACAGAGGCTGCAGTTACTGAAGGGTTCCTGGTTCTGTGGTCCCAGGGCTTTTTTTTCAGCTGGAACTCAGTCTACACACCTCTCAGGTGGGCATCATTGCCATTATAAGAGAACAAGGGAAGCATTCATGGTGAGTTCCAGCACCCTTTTCCCTAGAAAAATAGCACTGTGAGGTATTATATTTAGAGGGACTCTGGTGGTTGGACTCAGCCTCAGTTTTGTGTCAGGGCACAGAACCAGAGTCTATTAAGGCTATGCTTCTGGTTTAATCAATTCCATTAACTCCTCTCCCTCTGAATCAGGAACCAAAGCCACTACTGGATGTTCTGGTCATAACACTGCATATATCATTTTTGTTGTTGTCCCAAATAAAGGTAAAAGTTAAAAGTAAAGGACCCCTGGACAGTTGAGTCCAGTCAAAGGTGACTATGGGGTGGTGGCGGCGCTCATCTCGTTTCAGGCCAAGGGAGCTGGCATTTATCCATAGACAGCTTTCCAGGTCATGTGGCCAGCATGACTAAACTGCTTCCGGTGCAATGGAACACTGTGACGGAAACCAGAGGGCATGAAAATGCCGTTTACCTTCCTGCCGCAGCAGTACCTATTTATCTACTTGCACTGGTATGCTTTTAAACTGCTAGGTTGGCAGAAGCTGGGATAGGGCAATGGGAGCTCACCCCATAGAGTGGATTCAAATCGCCGACCTGATCGGCAAACTGAAGAGGCTCAGTGGTTTAGACCACAGATCATTTTTTTGGTTTGTGATTTTCAGACTCCTCTGGCATTCTTAGTATTTTGCCACCCCAGGCAGCCTCTTGGGTAATGCCTACTGGGTTGAGTGTGGGTGTAAAGAGACTACAATAAATTACGTGGGCCTGTATGTATGTATAAGTAAACTACTTGTATTTAACATGGTTAGAAATTAGTAAAATGTGCTTGTTTTCTCACAGAGAAGCTAAACATTTTTCTGGAAGAAGTTGCATGTATGCATTTGGCGTTTGCTTAGAATATTTTCTTGGTCATTTTAAAGATATTACTCCATGGTGAGCAGGATTTGGGGTCATATAATGGTATTAACAGTACGTTAAAAATAGTGGTCTTACATAATGCCCTCATTTGTCACCACTGGAATGAAGGTATTTGGTGACCCATGGTATTCTTCCCTCTGCAGGAAACAAAGGCCACAGATTTGGGTTCCTCTGCCTTTAGTGGTACATGAAACACAGTCAACAGTTTCAATAAGAAACTGCCAATTATAGGCAGACCTTCACAACTGCCCCTAGCTAGAGATACGTTACATTCCAGGAAAAAGGAGTATAAGTTCTGACTCACATGTAGAAACAAACAACAAAAAACCTGAATGTTGGGTCACTTGTGAGGAACAGTAGGTGCTCTGCAATTTTCCATAGCTGCATCATCAGCAAGCCATTGTTCAGCAACATCCTCAACAAAAGGATAATGCAATATCTAATGTAAAAGTTGGCAGCTTCTTCAGCCCATCAGCTCACTTCCCTACTAACTCTCACTTAGCTGGGCCAAAGGAGTCAAATTAGGTATGTCCACTGTGGATTTCCAACATTTGAAGACTTTCTCCACCTACTTAATGTATTGCAGAGATACCAAAATTCTGTTGCATCATGCTTCATGTGAAATGGGCGAGAGTAAAAAGGTTTGTAGCACCAGTATGCTGATTACTGTGGGCTGGGAAGAACACAGTGCAGGCCTGAGAGGACTTCACAAATCACAATGAAGGTCCATGCAGGAGGCAATAAAAATACAGCTCCATGGGCTGCTATGTTACCCATTCCTGACCTTAAAAAACATGAAATAAGCTATGAGCACAAAACTGATTTCCTCCTTGCCACATCTTCACAATACAGGCTCTCATCACTAAGCTCATACATACCAAAAAAGGGTGAAGTATGTGCCAGCTCTACTGATTTTAAAAATGACAGGCGAGAGACACCCAGGGTTGAGGCTTAAATTGCCATGAAACAGGATTCAAGAGATTAATGCATGATTTACAATTCTTGATAATGTGTCTCAATAATACATTCCATCTTAAAACCTACAGAAGTTTTCAAAACTTGGGTCACCAAATAAATGGCAGAATGAGAAGTAATGTGAAGCAGCCTGAAGTCCAAAAACAAAATAAAACAATATTGCAATGAAATAATATTTTAATACACCTTAAATTTATTTACCTGGGACTCATCATGAGGTTTCTGACTTCATATAGCAGAAAGCTCCATGCAGGTTTTATGAAATGAAGAAACCACCAACTAAATCAATTCTCACAAGAAAGCTGCCACTAACACATTTTTCCATCATCTTTCTGCTTATTAATTTGTGGTATGAAATGCTGAGAGATACTTTAAATTAAGATCATGTTTAAAAACAACAACATGCCACCAGGCCATGACATTGCTGTATTTACAGACTGGGCAACAATTTCTCCAGGTACCTGCAACTTAATCATATAATGGGGAACAGAGTCAGTTTCTAGTTTTATCATTAGTAAGGCAGCCCACAGTTCTTATACATAAATAAAAACTTAGGCCCAAACAACATGTTGTAAGGTACTGCTTTGGTGCTGTCAACCCACATCTCCCAACACGTTTCCCTAAATGAAGAATACATGGTATGAAGTAAGAAAATTAGTATTTCTCCTGCTGCAGGTTAAAGCCAAGTGAAACAAAAGGAAGGTGAACATTAAGGCAATTATATAATATCATATTTCCCACAGCTATACATTACTGGAGGGACATGGGGAGAGGGGAGACATAAGCCTTAATTTAAACACAAACCATGTCTACATTTCCTTATTAACCTGGTGAAATGATGCTCAGATCACTAGAACTAGCACTTACAATACAAAACAGAAATCAAGCTTTGAAGGAAGCTGAACAATCACAGATCATCCAGTCTTCCCAAGAATTACATGACTAGTATTCTGCCAGACAACAGTACAGGTTGCAACATTAAGATAACCTTTGCCAAATATTAAATAATATATTAAACTCAAGTTCTTGACAATATCACTTCATGCTGCAGGTAGGATGAGGTTCTATTTCTGAATGCTCTCCATATATAAAGTTTCATTCTGATACTATACTGGAACATCTGTAAACTAGAACAACAGAAAGGCTAGATTCTAACTATATCTACATCTGATATGTTAAATTACTACAGGGAGCATAATTTTTTTACATGGGGACCCAAGCTGTACAGCCCAAAATTATACTGTCACATTCTACACCTTTCATTTACTATGAAGTGGAGGTTAAAAGTGAGAGATACAAAACTTTCTAAACCCTCAAAGAAGCAGTGCGACATGCAATAAGAGACAGGAGGCTGCAACGCTACAGACACTTACCTGGAAGTAAGTCCCATTAAACTGAATGGGACTTGCTTCTGAGCAGATGTGGAGAGGAATGCACTGCAAGAGTTCAGCGTCCCAAACGTGGGAAAGCATGGCCACATTAAAAAATAATCCAAAATTAACCGAAATAAATGAGAAGAAAAATGTGCTGAGTTATGAAAGAGAAGAAAGCCAGTGTTTTGTGCAGTGTGCACATGCCACCTCGCATGCAGACTCAACAATGGACTGTGCTGAACAACAGAACAGGAATGGGTACCTCAACAATGGAATCTGAGTACTCCCTCCTCAAATGATGCGGGATAGCTACAACTATCTTCCACTTCTTGCCAGCCAAGCTAGTGATCTGCACTTCCCATAGATTTTGGTAACGCTTGCATATTGTTACTGTGCAAAACCAAGTTTCTTAGAATAAAACACAAACTGAATTGCATTCTGAACTGTCACTGCTTTCCTGCCGCAGTTTCTAGCCTGTGCTCTTCAGCAGATGCCTGTGTTCATGAGGTGCTTCCTCTCGCCACTCCACAGAAAAAAGTGCTTCTGCCATATGAACTGATAAAGGGGCTATCAGATCAACTTTTAATATAAATATCACACACACACAAGCTCTGCTGAGCACTATAATGTACTGAAATTAGCATAGACAGTACAGTCTGCAGTGTGGTGATAGCCTGGAATTAGAAGCAATTGTGTAAAACAGGAGATGTCTCTTAAAATAATAGACACCTGACAATCATAATCAATGGCTTCTGCTGAGACATTCACTTTTTCAATGCTGCGTCACCAAGAGAAGGGCTCGTTTTGCCCCAGTTACAAGCCAAGGTTCCCAGATAGTAAGGATGGGGTGGGGAGGAGAAATTCCAGCAGGAATGGAGAAACCAGGGCAGCATCTACCCCACTGTGTGCACTTCTCTGCCTCTCACTGTACCCACCCGCACCACATCTTCCAGCGATGGCTTGCCATTGCCAGTCTACCTGTGGAGTGTGTGGGAGTCTTTCTAGATGTAAAGCAGATGGGGCAGCAGGGGGTGGGAGAGCGGATGGTTGGTGGGAGGGATGCCAGAGGGGACAGGGAAATGTACAGAGAATACAAAACAAGTGCCACACTTGCCGTCTCCTGATGTTGCAGATTCTAATCTCTCTTCCCTGCAACATCCCTGATAATCTCCATTATTAATTTGACCTGTCTCAGCACTCATCATCTTGAAGATGATTTCTTTCAGGGCCCATTAGGTTCACCTGATCTCCAGAGTGTCTCTCTGTGACACATCTGCCCAGATCTATAGCTCCAAGTGACAAATCTCTTGGTAGTAGAGACATAAGGACATTATCATGATGTGTGTGCGCGTGTATGTGCTGGTGCATCTGCAAGAGAGAATGTGCAGGGTGCCAGGAATGAGTTAAACAACCCCCTAATGAATTTTCTTGCTTTGTTCCTCATTTCCTCCCTCACACACACTCCAATTAGGGATGAGAGCCTGCTGGGATCCGCTCAAGTAGGAAATCCTTTTCACATATCGGATCCCATCCCATCACCCTCCCAGGATGCACATGATGCTTCCCATCCTCTGCTTTGCACAAACTATTGCTTCAGCCAACAGTCTCAGCCCACCCTTTCTCCTTTGAACCTATTTCCTCCCACTGCTCTCCCATGGTTTATGCCAGGGGTAGGCAACCTAAGGCCCATGGGCCACAAACAGCCCACGGGGGTTGTTTAACCGGCCCACAAGCCACCCCCGAACCGAGCCACTGGCTCAGAGAGTCCCCATGCGCTGTGCTAAACCAGCGCAGCATGGTGCGGGAACTCGCTTCTGCAGTGCAGACGCCGGAAATTGTTTCTGTGCAGACGCCGGAAATCCAGCCCATGGAGGGATCTCCACTGCAGTGAACTGGCCCAGGCGAGGTCAACCTTGCCGACCCCTGGTTTATGCTGTAATGAAAATGGGTGTGCTGGGGGCAGGAGGCGGGGAGTAGAAGGGCACAGTAACTTTCACAACACGGTGGTTCAGTGTACGGCCAGTGTGATAAAAGACAGGAATGCTTCTCAGACAGTGTCAAGTCTTACTCACTGAATCTTAAGAGGAAAATATTTATTAGGGGCAGCTTAGATCAGTGGTGGGACCTTCAACTACACCATGCTTCCAGTCTCCAGAGCAAGGTCCATAGATAGGCAGAAACTTATTTATGTATACATACATTTCTGAGCCACTAAATCAAAAGTAGGGGGAAGAGAGAAAAATAATCTCAAAGCGGTGGGTTGCCTCTAATAAAGTTGTCCAGTTAGTTCAAGGGCTTCTGCCTGCACAGTGGGGCTTCCTCTTTCCACACACTCCCTTGCCCTCCACCCCCAAATCGGCTCTGGAGAGGTGGAACTCTTTCCCTAACAGATCTGAGGTCTGTGTGTGCGCGCAGGTAGAGGAGAGGAAGAGGAAGTCCCACTGTGCAGATAGAAGCCCTTGCACTAACAGGACAACTTGGTAGGGTACAATGCACTGTATGTAAAAGCAACATCAAATAAAAAGGAAAGACATAGAAACACAAAGATCAGAAGAACATAAAACTGGATCGTATGGTAGGGGAAGATGGCATAAATAAAAATGTTTCTGGCTGGTGTCTAATACCAGACATAGAGGATGCCTGCCTAATATACAAAGACAACAAATTCCACAGTATTGATGTGACTAGGCTAAATGGCCCATTGCTTGTGGCTGCCAGGCAGACACCATAAGGAACAGTTAACAACACTATCAAAGAGCAGGCAGGAATCTATGGAGAAAGGCAGTTATTCAAGTAGGCTGGTCCTAAGTTGTTTACGGCTTTATTCACTAAGACCTTAATTTTTTCCTGCTTTCTCCAAGTTAGGAATTGATGCATTTTACCAGGTAGTGATGTGCTTTACAAGGTACAGCCAAAATTTTACCCCACCCCCACAACCTGCAGTGTGAAAGAGATACATTCAAAAATTCCACCACCTCATTCTGTGTATGGTCTACAAATGCAAGGATAATGAGGTGATGTTTTGGGTTCCTTCAGGAGACCATTAAAAAAACACCCACCCACAGGAGTTTCATACTTGAAGCTTGAATTAGCACAGGGCGTTCCACCACCTTAGGCTTCGACCGCCTCATTCTGCGGCACATGTAGGCCAGACCTTTTAGACAGGCTCTTTCAGTCTCCTGGACCTCATTTTTCATACACTGAATCTGGCCTAACCAAACCAAAAGCAGCTGCTGCTTTTGTGCCCCCAGATGCAGGACCTAGAAGCTCAACAGCAGGCCGGCATGACAGCATGATAGGAGGGGAGCAAAGCAGCTGACAATATCAACACAAATATAACCAGGTGTTCGGGTCACAGCCACCCTGTACGTTTAACACACATTTAAGACTACCTCACAGAGCTGCAATTCATAGAATCATAGTATCATAGAAATGTAGAGTTGGAAGGGACCTGGAGGGTCATCTAGCTCAACCCCCTGCAACACAATTCCCAGCACCTTTAGCAAACTACAGTTCCCAGGATTCTTTGTGGGAAAGCCACGTGCTTTACAGGTGTGGCATGGATGTGACCTAGGCTAGGAATTTAGGAGACCCGGCTCATGTGCTCCTCCTCCCAGCCCCTCCTTCATTTCTGCTTTCTCCAGCAAGACTTCTGCAGTGTACAAAATAAACATTCTTCTGCAGGTGAATCAGGTGCAAATGAGATGCGGAAAATATCCAGCACCATATGGAAGACATACAATTGCAAGCAGACACATGCCACTTGCAGTGGCGCATTTCACTTTCCATTTGGATGCATGCCTTAAGAAACAAGGACGAGCCTCTGAGCTGAGAACGCCACTTGAACCTGCCCCTCGAGGGAATCTCCCTGAAGCCCAGCCTGCTGCTCGCTCCAACATCTGTCTGTTCTCTGGTTCCTGATGCACCTAGAGCTTGCCATTCTGCTCTGGATGCTTCTGCAGAGCCTGGCCCACGCTGCCTTGCCTGCCTCATTGGCAAGGCTCAGAGTTGGATCTAATCTTGCACTGATTAAATGTCCCTCATTAACGAGTTTCTTTAATTAATGGAGTTTTTGGGCTTGCTTGGCTTGCTCTCTCCCTGCCGTTCTCTGCCGCCTCAGCACAAACATGGGGCCATTCCCTTTCGAGTCATTTAGTGAGTGGGGCCAGTTCCTGCCGACACCGCACTTTGCTGATGGCGCCTGTCGCCTCACGCCTGATGACTCCATTTTTAACATTTCTCCCCCTTTTATTTTTTATTTTTTGGGGAAAGCAATGACCTTAAATCTCAGTGAAGTCAAACCTTCACAGAACAGATACCGAGATAGTGTCCAGATCTACATGGGCAACTGTATCTTGCGAGTGCTGAGACTTGAGTCACCATCTTCCTAAACCCTAAGTCACTCTCTGTTGCAATATCAGAGGGCAAGGGGAATCTTCCGCTGTGCTGTCTCCTTCTCCACTTCCACAGGAAGAAAATGTGACATCATTTCCTGTTTGGGAGCCCTTACTTTGCTTTTCCTCAGCCTGTAAGGAAGCACTACGGTTGGCCCACAACACTTGTGGGCAAACCTTTTGACTTGGTAGTCACCCATGGTATGGAAATTGTATGGGGGGGGGGTGAGACCAACTCTTGGTGCCACCTACCAGCAGACCCAGGGTGGCTTCCAACCTAGATGATTAGCCCTCAAATGGCCCAAGACACAAGTGACTAAATCTGCAGCAGTGGCAGCTACCACAATCTCCACCACTTACACTCCACTGTCAGGACAACAAAGCAGAAGTTTATTCCCCAAGTGAGACCCAGCTGGTCTGATGTACACACCATGCCTTTGTGACTTGCCAGTCTAGGATTGTAAGACGATAGCAGGAAGGCTGATGAGGAGACAGTTCAACTTCTTCACCCACTAAAATGAGGGCCAGGAGAAAGTTGGGAGGAGGAGGAGGAAGACTGGGAGATGCTCAAATGCCAGAGGAGTCTGTGGGCTATAGCTCGCACAACTTTGGCTAGAGTAATCTCTTAGTCCAACCTTACCAGAGTTGTTATTGTTAGAATGAGGTTAAAAAATCTGCAAAACATATTGTTAGCTAAAAGGTGACAAAGAACTT